ATTACCACGAGCTGAAATTAAATCTCACAGGCTCGCTCCCTAATCTGCGTCACGCACGAGCGACTTAGCTACAATTAGTACAGTAACAAACAGATATTTACATCCGTTGATTTTAAATAAGTCGTATTTTAAAAATATCTTACTCAAAGATGTGCCAGGTTTCCCAGTTAACTTGCTGAAAAAAAAAGAAAACCTTAATAGTAATTCTAGCTCAATTAGAATTGATTTTATTTAGTATGAGAAGTTTTGTGCCGTCGCAAAACCAATCGGAAGTAACTGTTTCCACGAAAAGCAAATATTGCATCTTTCTCTAAATAAACAAATCTTCTTAACCATATAACCAGAGTATGTTGTTGGCGAAGTTAATAGACATACATAACAACGACGTCTTGCTCGTTCTTGAATATTGTCGGTGGGATTTGCGTCGCAGACGAACGCACTTGCTAAGTAACTTCCAATGGCTAATTTCTACCCTTACTCAGCTTTCGTCACACGGCTCACGCTGTGTAACAAGGATATAAAACATCGCACGAAGTCCTAAAAAACTCTCCGGACTTGAACCAGAATTGATTTTAGCAAGATTGCGTGTTTTTAAAAGCCAACGAGTTTATTGGAGATGACTACCCGTACCGTCTCATCGTGTCACTTAGGCATAACCTGACACGATGTCGATAGTTTCGACTCCTGATGGTCGAGAGCACTCGGATTTCTTTTTTTCCGAGTACGCCTGTATCACTTACTGAATAATACATCATTCTCATTTATTCACCAGGCTTAAAAATATTCCATCACATTTATTCCATTGCGCGTATGCCACACATGACATTCCAATCCTAGCAGTATGCAGGATGTTTGTCCCATGAAGCACTCGGATTTTTTTTCCGATTATGCCTGTGTCACTTACTGAGTAATACATCATGTTCAAAAGTATTAATTTTTGCACCATACAGGAAGTTGTTTCGGGTCACTCAACAAGAGCTGTGAAAAGTAGCCGCACTGGAATAGGAATATATTTTTTCCAATCCACGAAGATATTTGACCTTTCAAAATAGCTCGTCCCTATGGGCTCAGGTAAATAACAACTAAAAAATGTACTACCAAGCAGGAACTGTCTCCAATGAGTTTTGCATCCTCTTCATTCTGTTGTCCAATGCGACTATTAAAAACACTATGAGTTTTACGACTTGCATGTTTTATTGATTGCGCTTGTCAAACAACACTACAGTCTGTCATTGATAGAGAAAATAAAGTTTAATTTTGACAATATTCGATGAAAAATACTAAGAATTTTCCAAAGAGGGCACCGAAGAATAAATAATGTGCACTGTCATTTTTACGACATTTAAAAAGGAGGGAAGGGGGTGGGGGAAAGGATTTAACAACCATACTACTCTCTCTCCCCAACCACCCACAGAGTGCACAGTTTGCACAGTATACTAGTGGAAACGTCACATCAACCTTACTTATTTCTTTCCGTCGTTTAAACAAATGATTCTTTCATATAATCTTAAGTCAACAGAATGAATAGACTAAAAATAATTCATTGGAGACAGTTTCTGTTTGGTAGAACATCAAGTAGTTGGTTGCTTACCTGAGCAGGGACGAGCTGTTTTGAAAGCTCAAATATCTTCATGGATTGAAATAAATTTATTCCTTTTTCCAGTGCGGGTGCCTTCCTCAGCTCCTTGCAGTGACCAGAAACAACTTCCGGGATGGTGCAAAGATTACCCGTCCTTCGCCAACCTAAACCTAACTTGGCACGATGAACCGGACAGATAGTCATATCCGATAAATTCGCCGGCTTTTGAAAACATCCACATCTCGCCAAAATTAATTCTACCTCCGTTTCAATTCCGGAAAATTTCAAGGACTTTTTGTGATTTTTGATATCCCTGTTACACCGCGTGAGAGGCGTGACGGAAGTTGAAGAACTTGTGCGTTCGTCTGCGCCGCAAATCCTACCAACAATATTCAAGAAAGAGCAAGACGTCGCTGTTCTATGAAGTTCCCCGACAATAAACTCTGGTTTTAGATGAAATGTTTCACAGATAAAGATAATCCGATTTATTTATTTAAAGAACGATGCAATTTTCGTGAGAACAGGTACTTCTGATTGGCTATCGACGGCATAAAGCTTTTCATTCTTAATAAAATCAATTCTTATCGTTTCAGTTTGAATTGCTATTATGATATTTTCTTTTATTATTACTTCAGCAAGTTAATTGAGGAACCTGGTACATCGTTGAGTAAGATATTTTAAAATAAGACTTATTGTAAATTAACAGATGTAAATATCTGTTTGTTACTGTACTAATTGTAGCGAAGTCGCTCGTGCGTGACACAGATTAGGAGCGAGCCTGTGAGATTTAATTTCAGCTCGTGGTAATTTTGGTGTTTCATAGTTTGTTTTACCTGTGTAGGCAATATTTAACATCAATATATATTTTTAAAAGGTTCAAACCGCTAAGAAAGTAAAACCCTCATGTTTTATGTACAAACTTTGGCCGAGGAGTTAATTTATTCAATAGTGCATTGTTATGTAGAGTTGTAGATTTCAAAGGCGCTCAATTGGAATTTTATCGAATTTTGATCGGCGTTCATGCGAAAGTGCTACTAGATCCTAAAGATTTAAAACCATAGACCTAAAACTCAATGACTGAACTGTCTTTGGTTATAATATCAGAGGATTTGAAGAACTACCGGCCAGCTTTTTTCGTCGCTAGTTTGGATTATTTTACACCTTCGCGTAAATGAGAAAAGTGTGTCTTCTTAATCGGGTCTCAGTTCGCTCACAAATAAGCAGAGATAAAAATAATTCCCATGGTTTGACTAAGGAAGAATCAATGTATTCAATTTTACTTAAGAAAGATTCACAGCTATGTAAACGTCTGTGTAGCGAGAAGCTGAAAAGTGTAAAATTTCGAGTTTCCGCCAGGTGAAATCCGAGCTTCCGGTAGGGTGACCGTTTTTCGTGGTTTTCTGCCGTTATATGGAATATTTCAAAAAACTAACCTCATATCCTTCAGTTACTTACCTAGGCCTTCAAACTGACAAAGTATGAGCGAAATCGATTTTTGAACGTGGCCACGATTTCTTTGATTTTTACTGACAATCACTCTTAAGTGGCGATCTCTGTAAGAGCGGTCCAGGGTATTTCGCATCGGAAAAAAGTTTTCCCTCAAACTTTGCCCAATAAACTATATTTGGTTGCAAGTAAATAAAACCACATTAGTTTCTGGAAATACGTTAAAATAAAATCTTTAGAGCTCTCAAAAGTCAAAGCTGCTAAAGGCCCTTTTTTGACCTCTTGCGAAATCGAAAATTTCCAAAGTTGAATACCCTGGTCCTCGTATCACACCGCATGCAGCAAAAAATCTTTTGTATTTTTAAACTGTGTGATATGTTAGGTGAATAAAAAGTATTTCAATTTTGATATTTGTTTGTTCAGGGGTTCGTCATAATTTATTTAAAAACACTCGTTAGACAGCTTTCTGAAATTGGTCAAAAGTACTCTTTCCTTCTTGGTTGATATTTCTTAAGTCCAGACCAGACCATTGAAAAGTCCGCTTTATTTCTTCTAATAAGATGTTTGGCTGCTGAAAAATATAAAAATATCTTGCACTTATTAATTTTATTCGCTGCGGTGACTTCAAACTTTCACCGATTTTGCTAGCGTGACAGTCGATTATGCAAATTAGTTCATTCAACAAACTCCGACCGTTTTATATAAGTAGCTCAATAAATCTTGGATTTTAACCATTTTAAGTTGAAAAGATAGTAGGACAGAGCTTTTAGACTATACCAATTGATACTCTACACATTTCAAAAGGCCAGAATTTGACAAATTTTACCCTCTCGTGACGAAAGACGTCAAAAACAATGCATCGAATATCATAATTTGATTAGCGCTCGCTTAACATTTTAATGGCAAACTCTTTTTTAAAAATTTGGCTTCTGCTATTTCATGCATATTTGAGTTCTGACAGCTTACGCTATTCAAACCTGTATCAACATTTCAGAACCAAACTACAGGATTCTATTTAGTGTAACCGCCGATAACAGCACACACTGAAATACACCTTGACCAGTGACTCCGTCACGTAATTCAATTGTGAAATTATCCTGAATTGCTCGAGCAATATCAACCAAGAAGGAAAGAGTACTTTTGACCAATTTCAGAAAGCTGTCTAACGAGTGTTTTTAAATAAATTATGACGAACCCCTGAATAAACAAATATCAAAATTGAAATACTTTTTATTCACCTAACATATCACACAGTTTAAAAATACAAAAGATCTTTTGCTGCATGCGGTGTGATACGAGGACCAGGGTATTCAACTTTGGAAATTTTCGATTTCGCAAGAGGTCAAAAAAGGGCCTTTAGCAGCTTTGACTTTTGAGAGCTCTAAAGATTTTATTTTAACGTATTTCCAGAAACTAATGTGGTTTTATTTACTTGCAACCAAAGATAGTTTATTGGGCAAAGTTTGAGGGAAAACTTTTTTCCGATGCGAAATACCCTGGACCGCTCTTACAAAGATCGCCTCTTAAATACCAATTTTCATTTTCCAATGGGTCTCTGATTTGCTTGATTCGCGTGTGATAGAGTAACATGCACTCCCAAAGAAGAAATTGCGATGGCGTTTGCCTTTTGGATGGAAGAACTGAGATTAATTCAGATCAATACTTCCAACCCGTCATTATTCATCGCAATGGGGTGGGGGGTGGCACGATTAAATTTATAGATCCCTTATTAGCATTAAGCTCTGTAATCTTATGATCGCACTTCTTTAGCATCCAATTTTCTGTTACACCCTTTATACTCTGTTGGCGATAACTAACCCCTCCCCCCCCCCACCATTCCCCATGAAAACCACTTCACCCCCCCCCCTTTCCCTCCACCCGTGATAAAAAAAAAAATAATTACAAGGTCTGTTTTGTTAATAAGTTGTTCCCCATTCCTAGAGAAAAAAACAAATCAGCAACGAATATGACTAAGATGAGCAGGACAATAGAAATTACGAAAGCCGTCTGTATTGTTTACATGGTCGCTGTCTTCCTTCGTAACACTGGTCGTGTGATGAAAGCCATCGAGCTATGCCAGGAATGTCTGATTGTGCTAAACTGTCGAGTGCTGATTAAAGACACTCAATTAGCCAACTTACTTTTCCATACTATCTACATCGTTATGATCAATTCGTACGAAGCTTTGCATGAGCACACAATTGCCGAAAAATACTTGAGGAAACTACTTCTTTCGCTGAACCAGACCTCTGATGACACCGTCAATAAAGGATGGCTAAATTTACGACTGGCACGTGCACTTCGGGCACAAAATAACTTACTTGAGGCCAGAAAATTTTATGAATCAGCAATAAAAATTATGAAGACGAATGACAACACACAAATACTATGGCTTTGTTATGAAGAAATGGGAACACTACTTCATTCCATAGGAGAATATGACCAGTGTAAATCATATCTGGAGAAGGGGCTTGCTCTTTCCATGGACATCTGCGACAGGTATGGAGAAGCAATAAGCTGCGGAAACCTCGGAACATTGTTCCAATCGCTAGGTAAATATGACAAGGCCCGAGAATATCAAGAGAAAGCACTTGCCATTAGAAGAGAAATTGGAGACAGAAAAGGAGAAGCAATAAGTTACGAAAACCTCGGAACAACCTTCCAGTCGCTTGGTAAATATGACAAGGCCCGAGAATATCAAGAGAAAGCACTTGCTATCAACTTAGACATTGGAGACAGAAATGGAGAAGCAACAAGCTTGGGAAATCTCGGAACATTGTTCTACTTGCTTGGAAAATGTGACAAGGCCCGAGAATATCACGAGAAAGCGCTCGCTATCACAATAGAAATTGGCCACAGAAAGGGAGAGGCAAAAAGCTACGGAAACCTTGGAATATTGTTCCAATTGCTTGGTAAATATGACAAGGCTCGAGAATATCAGGAGAAAGCACTTGCTATCACAACAGAAATTGGCGACAGAAATGGAAGAGCAAAAAGTTTTGGAAACCTGGGAATATTGTTCCAAGCCCTTGCTAAATATGACAAGGCCCGAGAATATCAAGAGAAAGCACTTGCTATCAACTTAGACATTGGAGACAGAAATGGAGAAGCAACAAGCTTGGGAAATCTCGGAACATTGTTCTACTTGCTTGGAAAATGTGACAAGGCTCGAGAATATCACGAGAAAGCGCTCGCTATCACAATAGAAATTGGCCACAGAAAGGGAGAGGCAAAAAGCTACGGAAACCTTGGAATATTGTTCCAATTGCTTGGTAAATATGACAAGGCTCGAGAATATCAGGAGAAAGCACTTGCTATCACAACAGAAATTGGCGACAGAAATGGAAGAGCAAAAAGTTTTGGAAACCTGGGAATATTGTTCCAAGCCCTTGCTAAATATGACAAGGCCCGAGAATATCAAGAGAAAGCACTTGCTATCAACTTAGACATTGGAGACAGAAATGGAGAAGCAACAAGCTTGGGAAATCTCGGAACATTGTTCTACTTGCTTGGAAAATGTGACAAGGCTCGAGAATATCACGAGAAAGCGCTCGCTATTACAATAGAAGTTGGCAACAGACAAGGAGAAGCAACAATCTACGGAAACCTCGGAACGTTATTCCAAGCCCTTGGTAAATATAACAACGCCCGAGAATATCAGAAGAAAGCACTTGCCATCAGATTAGAAATTGGCAACAGAAATGGAGAGGCAAAAAGCTACGGAAACCTAGGAATATTGTTCCAGTCGCTTGGTAAATATGACAAGGCTCGAGAATATCAGGAGAAAGCACTTGCTATCACAATAGAAATTGGCGACAGAAATGGAGAAGCATCAAGCTACGGAAACCTGGGTATACTGTTTCAATCACTGGGTCAATACGACAAGGCTCAAGTATATCAGGAGAAAGCTCTCGCCATTAGAATAGAAATTGGAGACAGGCACGGAGAAGCAACAAGTTACGGAAATCTCGGAACATTGTTTGAAGCCCTTGGTAAATATGGCAAGGCCCGAGAATATCAGGAGAAAGCCCTTGCTATCACAATAGAAATTGGTGACAGAAATGGAGAAGCAACAAGCTACGGAAACCTAGGAACATTGTCTCAATCACTGGGTCAGTGCGACAAGGCCCGAATATATCAAGAGAAAGCACTCGCCATTGGAATAGAAGTGGGCGACAGGGATAGAGAAGCAATAGTCTGCGGAAACCTCGGTACATTGTTCAGAGCCCTTGGTAAATATGACAAGGCCCGAGAATATCAGGAAAAAGCACTTGCTATCCGATTAGATATTGGCCATAGAAATGGAGTGGCAACAAGCTACGGAAACCTGGGAACATTGTTCCAAGACCTTGGTAAATATGACCAGGCCCGAGAATATCAAGAGAAAGCACTTGCCACCAGAATAGAAATTGGCGACAGAAATGGAGAAGCAGCAAGCTACGGAAACCTTGGAAAACTGTTCGAGTTAGTCGGCAGATATGAAAAGGCCCGAGAATATTATGAGAGAGCACTTGCTATCACTACAGAAATTGGCGAGTGGAAAGGACAAGCTAAAAACCACAACAACTTCGGGACATTGTTCTCGACGCTCGGTGAATATGACAAGGCTCAAGAACATTACGAGAAAGCACTAAGAATGTGGAAGAGAGTGGGCAATAGAAAAGAAGAGGCAACCATTTATGGAAACTTAGGAAATCTCTTCATTGTGCTCGGTAAATACCGAAAAGCTGACGAGTATTTGGAGAAAGCACTGGCCATTAGATTGGAAATTTGTGACCGAAGAGGAGTAGCAGCAAATTACGAACACCTTGGGCTAATTTCCCTTCAGTGTGGTTGTCATGATAAGGCTCAAGAATATCACAATAATGCCCTTGCAATTCAAATGGAAATTAGCGATAAAGAAGGAACATTGGCCAGTCTTATGAATTTAGGATTGTGTTTTCAGTCGCTTGGTAAATATGAAATAACCAAAGAATACTTCAAGAAGGCTCTCCTTTTAAGCAGAGATATTGGAAACAACTTGAAAGAGTTTCAATGTCTTTGTTGTCTAACGATGTTGTCATGTGAAGAACATGAAGAACGTGAAGAAGCCATCTCGTATCTTTTTCAAAGTATTGCAAAATACGACACTCTGCGAGCTTTTCTGGACGACAACGATCAATTCAAAACATCCTTTTTAGAGGAGCACGGCACCTTTCCTTACAAGTTGCTCAGTGTGATGCTTTGTTCCGCCGGTAAACCAAAAGATTCTCTTTATGTCGAAGAGCTGAGACGGGCGAGAGGCCTGGCTGACTTGATGGCAGCTCGGTACTCTATTGAAGAGCAGATCTCAGGGAATCCACAATCATGGTGTGGCATTCAGGAAATTATCACAAGGGAGGTACACTGTGCATGCCTGTACGTTTCGGTAGAGAAAGAAGATGCACGTTTTTGGATTCTCAAAGCAACGGGAGCTATTCATTTTACCGAAAAAGAGGTGGGCCTTGAAGCAAACTCGGTGACCGGATTAGTCCCTGACTTAGATGAGTTCCTGAAAGACAGCTTTCGCAGCCTTGGCATTTTACCTCAAGAGAATTGCGAGGATCGATCTCTAGATGACACCGAATCGATGTCACTTCGCCATGAAAGCCGCCCAGCTCCACGCGATTATAATGCCAAAGATATCAAAGCAAATCTCCAATTATGTTACGAGATAATCATTGCTCCTGTGGCTAATCTTCTTAAGGAGCCCGAGATTATAATTGTTCCCGACTCTTGTATGTACCAAGTACCATTTGCAGCCCTAAGTGACGAAGGTAACAAGTATTTATCAGAGACATTCCGCCTCCGAATCGTTCCCTCTTTGACGACCCTCAAGTGCATTCAGGACAGTCCTCCAGACTATCATAGTCAAACAGGTGCGCTGATAGTGGGTGACCCTGAGGTTGGAGAAGTGATTCATAACGGAAGACGCAAGACAATGACAGCGTTGCCATGCGCAAGAAAGGAAGCAGAGATGATTGGAAGACTTCTTGGCGTAACACCTTTGATTGGAGACCGTGCGAAAAAGCAAGCTGTACTTCAAAAGATAAATTCAGTAAGTCTAATTCATCTTGCTGCCCATGGTTGTGCCGAAAGAGGGGAGATTGCTCTTTCTCCTATGCGCCCGTCGCTCTCTATTCCACGAGAAAAAGACTACCTTTTAACAATGGTGGACATTTCAAAAATCCAGCTGCGAGCTAAACTGGTGGTACTTAGTTGTTGTCACAGTGGTAAGGGAGAGATTAAAGCCGAAGGAATGATCGGAATCGCTCGAGCCTTCTTAGGATCCGGCGCGCGCTCTGTGTTAGCGGCACGCTGGGCCCTGAACGACGAAGCCACAGAGCAGTTCATGACTTGCTTCTACAAACACCTGTTCCGTGGTGAAAGTGCCAGCGAATCTCTTCACGAGGCCAGAAGGTGGATGAGAAATAACGGTTTTGACAAAGTTTCTGATTGGGCTCCGTTCATGCTAATTGGTGACAACGTGACATTTGATTTTAGAAGTTGGTCAGTGCCCATCGCACCGTGATAGGAATGAGTCATGTTAACCCTCTGATAATGTGATGGACTAAGTAGGGCGAGGGCTAGGAACGATGAATCACCAGCCCGTAGTGAGAGAACAAGGACAACTCGGATCGATACACAAAGCAAAACATTTTTGTAAAAAAGCTCATTTGACATGTCCGTTTAGCATTATGAGACAGGATAGTGTTTAATGTACTCTTAATAACAGTTAAGTGTTTTTAGAACAAACTTCATATGCCATTATTTTTAAAAAAGTGATAATATTACTAGTCAAGCCAATTACACAATAACTAACCATTTTTTCGAACGTGACTAGTCAGTGTAGCAAATAGCAATTTTTAAGTAAAGTTTCAAGTCAATCAAATTTTGAGAAAATTTACGAAGAAAAACTGGTTTTTGTCGAGGTTCAAGTTTCTGTAAATATGTTTAAAGCTTCTGACGGAAAATTAAATTCACCACGATAAAAGAAAAAAAAGGTTTCTTTCAATAGATACTCTTGTATACTCATATACATACAAACACATCGAAGGGCCGTAACTAGAGGTGACAGGCGATGTCACACTTTATGAATTTACCGGTGCAAAAGTGGGAACAAATAGGAGCGGAGACTCTTATTTTTACTCATTTTTTCGGTTTTCCCAGCCTTCAATCTGATGGAAAAGAGCGGGCTATTCCACTAGAGTCAAACATTTACGTTCAGCATCAGCTCTCTGTAATATAGGACTTCTGGAGTCCTCGGACGAATCAAAGGCTGCCCCACAGGCTCTCTTTCTTGTATGATGCTAAACCTCCCCACCTCGGAGTTTAATTATCCTTGTCATTATGATCTTTCTCATTTTTGGATCTTCCGTTCAACTTTGTGCAATATCAGTGGCGGCACTTTCGGCATCAAGCACCAGTTGAAGTTAAAATCTATTTAAGGGGTCTAGGTCATGTATTGAGGGCTTCCTTTATTGTGTAAATGAGGGACATTGCATAGTCTCCAGGCAATTTTAAATCTGGCTTAGGTGGGAGGTATTGTTCTAACACGAATTTACAAGTGATTACATTCTCTAGGGCGTTTCTTTCCCACGAAGCGTTTTAACAAGCCATTCTAAGATATTTTCTTTTTTTTTTTATAAAAGTTCAGTGCTGTTATTTGTTGTTGACTTGAGTCACTCTGTCAGTAAGACATGATCGTCTAGTCAACATCTGTTCATCGCTGCTCATGACTAGTCACGCAACGTTATCTGAGTATTGTGTGACAATCACAATAACAGTTGCGAAGGAGTCTGGTATTGGAGTCATTAAAAGTAATTTTAATGTATAATTTTCACTATGCTCTGTACGTCTGACTTGTACCCCCATTAGATGAACCCAGTTTGAGAGGAGTGTAAGATGAATTACAGCCAAGTGAGCCAGCCATATCCGGCGAGCCAGCGGATCGCACTTCAGGGATCATAAAGTCACTGTCAGAGGGCCTAGGACCGGGTGGTTTGATTGGCGGCTCCTCGTCCTGCTCATCTTCCTCTCGTGAAGCTTCAATGGTTTTCCTGGCCTTGTACAGCAGCCACCCTAATACTCCAATGATGATGACAAGAACAACAGAAAATCCAGCTAGGCAGCCAACCGCAACTTTCATCTGGTTTAAGCGGCCAGCTAAGTGAAGTAGAAAAACAAAACTTGAGGTCAACTCATACATAAGAATTAAATGAGAATTTTTCGTTTTATACAGCGCATTTGAAAACAATTTTTTTCAAGAGTTCTTTGATTTTTTGTAATCTTGGACCACGGTAAGCAGTAAATGTTCATAAATATGCCCTTTTTTAATTACGAGGATCACAAGGTGAACGGGTTCAAAATCTTGATCAAAGTACGACAAACGTGCCACCGCAATAATCTTCCTTAATTTCATGACTGCAACGTTCTTTGTTTGGTGAAATACTCTCGTAAGGCGTCAAGGTTTGTGGCAAAACTCGCGCTTTGTCTACTGATCTCTCAGTATTCAATTTAGATCACATCATTGTCTGACTTGTCAAAGCACGGAAAGAAAAAAAAAAACCTATTGTGCTCACCATTCGAGACCCTCATTTTCATAGAAGTAGTTCCCAGGTTATTTCTGGCTTCACATTCGTACACTCCGAAATTATCACCGCTGACTTCTGGTATATTAAAGATGTTTTCTGATTTGGACCGATGACCATATAGAGGCTCCCCGTCCTTGTACCACGTAATGTCAGCAAATGTCGTATTAGCTGTTTCACAGTGCAACGACAAATGATTTCCTTTTTCAATGGAAATCTGTCCTTCATTTCCCGCTCCCCACATCTGACTCAGGACCGGAGGGACTACGGAAGAATTTCGAATTAACTAATAACTTATGGTCGTGGAGTGAGCACATACTCTAATAATAGAGACAGCGATAACTCTACGATAGATTTCAGTTCAAATACGAAGAAAAAAAGCCAAAAAAATTTTACCCACCTAATGATATTACTGTAACTGACTCGACGTCATCTGGCTCAATGCCATTACTAGCTCTGCACGTATACACTTCTTGTCCCACTGACGTCATATTTGCAACGACCAATGTCTGTCCTTGATAAACAACATTGCGGTTTTTGTACCAGGTTATTGTGGGCTCAGGACCACCTTGGGCAGCACAATTCAGAGCAAGAGGTTCCCCTGGGACTTTGGCTCTTATAGGTACCATAGGGACAATTCGAGGAGGATCTGAAACAAGACAGAATAATTACGAATATGGGAATAATTACAAATGACAGGAATAATTACGAATAATTAAGGGACCTCAAATTTTAGATAGTGTCGATGTAAAGTGGAGAATTTTGTTAATGGATTATAGAAAGTGGACTAAATTGTCGCCCGACAAGATTAAAGAACCTCGTCACTTTTCTTATTCTTGAAACAACGAGTTTAAATTCTATAAAAATTTTCATATCCTCCCCATGATCTTTAACTCTTTAATCAATCCTTGTTTCTGATGAGTTCTGTCACACTAACGGGTTTTTAGACAAGCAATCTACCATCTGAACATTTCCTTTTATTGTAAGTAAACCTTACAGGTTTTTCCTGTTGAAAAAGTCTGATAATGACTCCAAATTCCACCGCCAGCTCCATTCACCGCTCGGACTCTTATCTGGTACTCAGCGTTTGACTGCAAACCGGTTAAACTGGTACTATTGTGATTCTGCACAACTTTAAGTGACACTTGCTCGTGATTGGTAACTTTGAACTCAACGTAGAATGACGTCACCAGATCTTCCTGCTGAGGATGCGCGGAAGTTGACCACGAGACCAGCGCCGACCAGCTGTCCATTAGTTTCACGTGAATATCACGTGGAGTGGGAGGAGTGACTGAAAATGTCAAAGAAACCAATTTTAAGCCGCTTTAAGGACATTTTTTTATGGCGTCACCAGACGCATAGATGATAATCAAACCTCTTTTTGCGATGTAAAGTCACCGGGCAAAAATTGTTGTCCAGAAATCTCTCTTCGTGATGGGAAGAATAGGGATCCTAAACATAAGGTTATCGCTTACCTTTGGAAAGATAAGGGACAAATTTATCCTCAGTATAGGGGTGTGAGGAGTCTAAATTCAATTCAACGAGTTGCCTATTCTTTGACAACTCACCCCACTTCACTTGCACAAAGTAATATTGTCCCCTGCCTCTAGTACTCGCACCATCTGATTCAAGTTATGTTTCAACGAACGTGACGGCTCAATCACTGTTGCTGCATAACTTATTGTCATATAGGAATTGCGTTTACGTGTTAATTATCTGTGAGCGTTTGTACGTTTCATCAGTTATATTGTGTCAGCTGTGGTTGATGTTTAGATCGTTCCGTAATATGACGTAATTATGTCGAGTAATTTGTCGAGTTTTGTGTTTAAATTTAGTCCTGTATATCAATATCTACGTCCACTTTTTAAGAAGAAGCGTCGTCGGTTTTGTTTTTTGCCCGTAAAGCTATGCACCGTTAAGGTAAGTATTTTTCTTTGTTGTGACTATATTTTTAAGTTTACGTTCTCTAATATGCATTGTCCCGCTCATGTTTAATACCGTAGGCGTGTAGATTTTTTAATTAAATGATGAGCACAAATAGGCGTGGCTTCGCTTACAATGACGACCCAGCGACTTAGAGCAAAATATGGTTTAAAGTATTAGTACTTGACTTTCAAGCTGAAGGCTATTTTCTCTCACCTCGACCGCAAACAAAGGGATGTTTTAAGTAGAACTCCTCATTTTCCCATAATCCCGAAAATTCATTCATTTTTGTACAATTCTTTCTGTTACCAGGGGAGGTGTCTGGAAGGTTTGGACCCCAATTAGTGTAGCCCACCAAAGATCCATCCGACCAATGAAATTTTTTCTCCGTATCACGTGATAACCCAATCCATACGCTCGAGCTTGGATTGGTTGGCCTTATCAGGTTTAAAAAAACGAAGTAACTCTCTTCCTCCGTATCCAACTTGGCTAGAGTTGCCTTTTCTGTTTTGCACACGGCCTGGGCTTCGTCCCAGGTTCTTTTGTCGTCATAAAGTCTGAAGCAGGAGTCGCCAACGGCTTGCCATCCGTTCCAACAGGTTTGATCGCCTGTGAACAGGGGATTATTGTAACAAATGAAGATGGGACCAGCGTAAAAGGGTAACAAAAGCACCTTGAAACGAAACTGTTCAAAATATCCAGGCACGAAGAGACTAAGAGACGAAAGATGAAAAGATGAAGGGACAGCAAGATAAAGGTATAATGGAAAAAGGGAAAAAAAAAAAAAAGCCGGATAGAGGTATGGAAAAATAGAGGGAAAGACTAAAATGGTGAAACGAAGAATGAAAGGATCACATAACGTATAAAAAGATTGACCAAACTGTGCAGAGTAAAAAGAATTTGCAAGAGTAGTGAAGTGACGAAGGGAAAAAAATAACGAAGATGAAGAAGTGGATCTAGGACTGGCAGCATAAAATAGGCGATGTACTTACTAAACATCACAACCTCGTATACATCACTGGCCATAGCGGAGCCTTTCCCATTCTGGCATTCCGCTGACAGTCCGTACTTGCTGTACGTTTCTTGCGCTGTTAGGCTTGAAAGACAGCTTCCACCATCTTGAATTGCAAAATAACCGTAGCCATTTTTAAGAGCAACACGGGCGCATTTCTGTTCGGCGTCCTCTCTTGTTTTAGGCTCGCCGTCTAGTAAGATATCTTTTCCTTCCAAGGAGGGGACTGCTGGTGATGACGGCTTGTGGGCATAGCAACCGACATGATGTAACTGCACTGTGAAAAAAGGAAACATCGCAAGCACTATTTACCCCAAGTTTTACTACTCACTGCACAGTTTGTCAGGTTTTTTCTTATTTAGAAATATCTTGAACCCTGATTCGTCTGTCCACAATAGATCATACCAGGAGCACAAGTAATGGGCTCCTGATCATACCCAAGAACCAATCAAAATGGATATATAACTCAGCCTATCAAGTAATAATGTAATAGCTTCCACTTTACCTCTTTTCTGTTAGACAAATACAAAATTCCGCGTTGCCGTGTGTTTGTTCCGTAATAGGTCACAGATGACGTAAAATATTAGAAGAATTAACTTGGAATTATCGCATTTTTCTATATTCCGTCTTTCACCTCTATCTGAAGAGACACTGGAAAAAGCGGAATACAATTTTTAACGCATTACCTTTGAGCGGACACCTATCTCTAACATCATTTATCTCCTGCTCAGAGAGTGACTTGTTATAAACCTGTAAACAGGCAATGGCACCCTTGTAGAAATTCGAATCACCCTTTAATGCACCCACTCTCACGTCATCTTGTGTGGATATCTTAAAACTTCCCATACTCAAACGAGACACTTGTCTCCCGTCGATCCACAATCCGGCAGTTCCAGCAGAGTAATCATACGAAGCTGCTACATAGTTCCACGCTTTCAGCCGAATTTTGTCGCTCTGGATTGCGTAAGGTTGCGAAGAATCACGCATTTCAAACTTTGCAACAAGTCTGTTAGGACTCTCTAACCATAAATACACTCCTCTGTCTTGAACTTTGTAATTAAACAGAGGTCCTTTAGAGATTTCAGGGTACATCCAGGCCACCAATGTCATAGAATACTTAGCATCAAGGCCTCCGTTATTTGGGAACTCCAAAAAACTGGCCGATGACCCGGAGAAGTGGTAAGATCCCTCGGGTTGCCCGTAATATCCTGTGAAAAGGTAAACACCCTTTGCAATTCCTGACGGGTTGTTCGCTCGGCTTATGTCCTTTGTACCATGCTGTTTGTTGAGTGGATAAAGAGCAATTGGCTCTGGTAAGCCTGTACGTAAAATAAAATAAATATAAGCTAGATTATTAATTAATTGATTGTTTTACTTGAAAGGTAGAAATCGATATGGCTGACAGTTCTCAACGAAAAAAATAAACATACGTTGCCTATCCGTTACCAACTTTACAATTATTGGATTTCTCACAAGAAGTATCCAAAGCAGATTGTTACCGATATACGAAAGTGGAGAAAAGAAAAAACACGTAGCTTTTCGTTTACCTCATAGAAAAAATGAAAAAAACAAAACAACTATTGAGGAGGAAAAGGCGCCGCGTTTGGATGTCATGCAACGTTGCGTGACAAAATGTCCGAAATTATCGTGACGCAGCGCTTGAACGTCACGTCATACTATTTTGGCCATATTGTTTACTAATGCAATAAGTCAGCTGAAATATTGGTAACTAATCGGCCATACATTCTGATAGTTAAACAATGAACAGTTAATTGATTTAAAAGATATTTGGTTCGAAGCTCGTTAAACACCTAATCTCACAAAAGATCTACCACTAATTATCTAAATGTCATTTGTAGCAAATAATTTACGGAAACGAAACCACGAAACAGTTTTCAATTTTAGCTATAAATACTCCAAAACATATTTGAAATTCAAGAGTGAAATAAAAAATGCATTTGTGTAGCAGGTAGCGAGATTGTCACCACAAAGTCAAACATTGCACAAATACACAATTAGAGTGCTGCTAAATAATTTTTTTTTTTAAACAATTGATTTTATCATGAACCTTTTACTCCTTGACTGATTCACGAGAAAACATAAATTGTTCTGTTAATTCATCAACCTTACAATTTCCATGAAATATTTGGTGTTCGATCTATTCATTGACTTGTTGGTCCATCGAATATTAAATATCCGAGACGAGAGGGCATGCATTAATAGTAAATTTTCCATGGAAAATGTGCTCGAACGATTTCTATTCATAACTTGCGATGCATCGAAAAAACCGAACGAACGAGTTTTTTTCAGAGAAACGAAAGAAGTACTCTACATCGTAAATCTCAGTACGTATGAGATAAAATAATATATACAATGAATGACGTTGTTTATCATTCATGAGTTTATGTCGTCTGTCACCTGCATTCAGTGAGCTCATCTCATACCGTTCGCAAGTCAAAGGGAAAACTGTTTCATTTAAGCATAAAAATGTTCAAGTGAAGAAGCATATTCGACCGAAAACCTATTCGTCGACTTGCCTAAATAACGCCCGCTTATTTCAAGCAATGAATTTTGAAATTATAGTATACAGATTGTATTGTTTCACGCTACTGGCGTCATATCATGTCGTCACTTACTCTCTATAACCATTCAATAGAGTCGTGCTAGCGTACTGATAGAATATAAACGAATTGCTCGATGTAACATGCGGAAATCATGAGAGTGGCGTTCGCAATATTTAAACGTAGAGCGGCAAAAATGAAACTCTGAATTTTTGCGGGTTTTTATACGTTTTTTTTCAAATATATTTACGTTAGTTCTAGCGAAGCCCTTCTAAAAAAATAAAAATTTAAAAAATGTTGATAAAAATTTTTGAAAGTCCTTTGGTGCCTATGTCACAACTTTTTATACATACTCTGTGATTACACGGTGTCAGTTTGTTGAACAGAAGTTATCAACAATCACTATGGGTCTGTTGTGGTCATACATGCCCAACTATTACACAAATGTATTTCCGTTAAATATGCTCGCGATGTTATCTTTTACAATGTCGCTGTGGCTCCACATCAAATCAACTCCTTTCGGTGATGAAACCTGACGGAAAGTAAAATTTGGCAATCTACTTCAATAGTAGATTTGTTTCATTGGTGCAAAAGCAGAAGTTTATCGAAATAATGCCGAAAAGATCGATATAAGTTTCGTTACGAAGCGTGACTGAGTTGAAAGTTTTCAACCGCGAAGGCTTTCTCTAATATGCTCAGTTATCGTCAGTCAAACTATAAAACTGCCACTGCGATGTTACCACAACTTACCTACAAATCCAGTAACTTCGAACGAAACCGACACGAAGACTACCACAAAGAGACTCACCGCACAGCTTTTAGAAAGCATCACACATTTGAAACAGCCCAATGCCATTCCGTTCATACGATCTCTTCCGTGAAAAACAAAACGTCCGCAAAACGTCTGTAAATAAACACTAATCCGGGTCAATTTGATATCTAACTGTCAAAACTGATTCCCTATCTCGATAACTTCACAGCCATTCGCAAATGACGAAGCTAGCAGGAAAGAAATAGCTCTTGATTTTGTTTCTAACGATTTCGGTTACAAAGAGTTCAGATAAACAATGGGTCACGAAACAGCAAAGATGCGATTTTTTAACCACTTGTGTTATTCAAATTTTACATTATCTATAGCTAGGGGAATATATCACGCTAAACTTAGCATCACATGTGCCGCTAAGACAAATATCTCAAATTTCAGAATAAATTAAACTTGCTATCATAACAACACTATGAAAAAATTGCAAAAGTAAAGAAAAGTTAAGAGAAGATTTAACAAATTGCAGGCGAAGCGACCTGGTTTCTCTTCATTTCCTGCACTGCTGATCACAAATTTCTTTTGTTAATGAATACATTTTTCGTAGGGTATCAATGTTTCCGGAGTGCTCAAATAGCCAGTATTCTTATACCTCTAATAAGCATATTGAATCTCTCTCGCACGCACAAAAGCGATTTAGATCAATTATTTCTTCTCCGTTTTATTGTAATTGCTTTCTTAAAGAAATTTAGGTCAAGACGAAAAAAATTGAGAGATCATTGAAAAGTGACGTAGCGTAAACCATTTTGCCAGGGCTCACCACAGGTAGCCCAAATTCAGACTGTTCTTAAATGAATGGTGCTCCTGTCCTTTTTCGTTTGCATTGTTTTCTTCATCTTTTTCCTTTCTTCGTGTTTTCATTCGTTTGCTTGAACTTTGCCTATCCTTATAGCCATCCTAAGGTTACTGGATCCAAATTTCATTGTCGAGATATACCTGACGATATCACCCGTTTTCAACGTATTTATTTACTTATCATTATTTCTCATTTACATTGATGCGTTATTTTCAGCCAGCTGTAGGTTTGCAGTATTACAATAACGCTTTTCTGAAAAAAATTGGAACGCAAAATTTCGATAATTTATGACATTTATTTTGAATGGTTTAGAATTAAGCTTTTATGTCACACTCTTGACATCTATTCTCAAGGAGGAAAATAGCAACCCACTGAAACTTTGCTTCAAATGTTTTAAATTATTTGGTCCAAATCGACACTTAATCTGAACACGAATATTTATGTCAGCATATAATCTGAAAGAATAATAACTTCGTCTTCTGTTTTTCTCCCTTCATTTTTTAACTGATTAAAGTTTCAACCCGAGTGACAGCGAAGCATTTTTCCAACCATTTTTCGAAACGATCGACTTTGAAGAGAGTAGAGAATTGGATTAACGCTTGCACTCGACCAAACCAAACTTAACATAATTACCATCGATTTGTCCTTGATTTCTCGTACAGCACCGATTAAGAGTGAACCCGCTACAACTGCCCATGGCAGCCAAAATACGTTGAAAGCAACAATAACGCTGAGCAAAATTCTTGTGATACGTTTTCGCGTTTTGAGGAGAATTTGCTCTCCCTCCTGCTGCGAGCAATGGCACCATAGATGTTTGATAAGAGCCAGTGAACTTCGCAGTATTATCGCCATCGGTATTATGTATGTAGCAATGAGATTGATAAAAGCAATTACTTTGATTTTAAAGCTGTGAGTTCCAGTTTCGAAGAGAAAAGTTAAGCAAATCGGAAAGGATTTTCCTTGAAACTTGTTCGGAATTTTCATCACGAGTAGCATCATCGGCAAAGATGCAATTGCCCCTACCAGCCAAATTACTGCAATCAAAATACGGGTGTTCTTCTTTTTCGAAGCTCTCCTATGCTTCCACGGATGAACTATGGCGTAAAATCTGTCCTTCGAAATAGCAGCCAGAGTAAGAACGGAACTTTGCGTGGCGAAGTGAATACCCACCAAAGTTACTTTACAGACAATTCCCTCGAGGTCAGGTTGGCGAAAATTTTCCGGTGCTGAAATAGCGAATGTGAATTTGTTCCGCGTAGAAGAGGGTTCCAAATAGCAAGCATAACATGTCTGATATGGCTAAATTGAGGAGAAGGTAATTGAATGAAGTCCTCAGTTTTTTGTTTGTGATGATGAGGCAACAGATCAATAGATTTCCCGTTAACCCTGCCAATAATATAACTGGCGTAATAACTTCAAAAGCTATTGAATCTTTCAGCGACATGCTGATAACTTTACCAGCTGATCATGAAGTCCTCTGAGTGTTATCTTCTTGCGAACAAGGATTATTACATCAGAAAAATTAGCGATTATTTTAAGGAAGCACTTCCCTTCTATCAAAAGAGGAGATTATTATGCGATTGATCCTCGAAAGTCACTCTAAATTTGCATTTAAAAGGAGACCTAATTTACATTGCGATTCAAAATCAGTCTCCAATTAAAATGAAAACAGAAGTGGTTTGTCTTTTTATCAATAGATATGTATACATACAGAGTTCACTGTTTCGACGTGACTGTTAAAGAAGTTGAAATTAATTGCAGAATTGAGCAATGAACTGGAATTATCAAGCTCTGTGTGTTTATTTTTCTTCAGCTGTCAAATGGTGTTTATTTTAAGGTCCAATGTGAGGATAAGAAATTAATTTATATTTTTTAAGTGAAGTCACTTGAACTTTGAAGCATAAAATCCTGTCCTTAAATAACAGGACAGAATCTGGTGATCATCAGAACTTTCTTTTGATACTTTTGTAAGTAACAAGCTGCACTCAGTTTTCAATTTCAATTTTCCATTTTCAGCTCTATTTTGGTGATCTCAAATTTTTATTTGACCACCTTATGGGAAAATTTGTAGCGCCAGCGAGGATCGATAAAACTTGAACATCACCGCAATGGCAGAGATAAGATATAGCTTAGTCACTTAATCACTCTGTTCTGTAGATAACATCTGTTGATTGAACAACTGATAGCACTGCCTTCGCAATCGATTACGGATCTCTTCTGAGTTTGAATATCAATTTCCTTTTCTTCTCCAATCATTCAACTAGAAGAATAGAGTGTTTAAATGAGCAGAATACTGATGTGAAAGACAGGGCGGCGAGATGAACTTCAGTTTCCAGTATTAAAAAAAAAAACAACAAAAAAAAAAATTCCTAGTGCGTATTGAATGAAACATTTCCACTGAGTGTTGAAAGGAGCCCGATTGGTTTTGCTACTCTTCCATCCGGGATTGGTCTGAAGAACTCGATCCTCTTTCTCAACTAATCAGATGCAAAAATAAAATCAATCGCGACTTGCTCACTGTGGCTCTTTTTCCCGCGCTTTTGGTAGATTGCTTGTTTTCCCTTTAAGTTCTGATTGGCTCCTTTCAGGATTTTCCTTTATTAAGATTGGCTGGAACTCTAATTAGGAGACACTACATTTAATAAGCGGATTTTATTGAAAACCAGCTGCCTACATACAAAATATATTTTTAAAATAGACATCAATACTCTCCTCTATTCGAGGTGAGGGAAATGTGGAACAAAGAAGGAACACGATGCATTTGATTATTAAGGTCTTACGAATCCTGCAAAGATCTATTCAAGTGCCTAAGTAGGTTTACGACAAAAAAAAGCAAACAAACAAACAAACAAACGAAAAAAAAATCGAAGCAAAACGCGCCTGTCTCAGTGTTCCTTGGCGCTTAGTTTCAACAGTCTCTGACTCATCTCAATAATCAACAAAAAAAATTAATAATTGAAAGGAGAAACCTCGAACGATTACACGTTATACACATAACAAAAGAATCCAATTCCCAGTTGACTGACTGATCTGCTGGTAACCTGATCGTAAAGCGGCTCAAATTAATCCCAGGCTGTGAAAGGAAGGCTTTTTGGGGGCTTGCAAAAGACCAATCAGATGTAATGAATTTCGTAATTATCATAAATTTACGTGACATCACGCTTCATGATCAAAGTGGAAACACATTTTCACCCATTCTCTTTGCCAATGTTACGCAGTGTCTATGAAAATAAGATTCACATCTTAGTAAGGGAGGAAATTGAGGCGCCTTAGGTTATTGAGATTAAGCTTCCAGAGTCTTAATGCACACTATTATTAGCTCGTTGTCTCGTGGATTGAACATTAGGATTGATTTACTTCAAAAAAGGTTAAAATGGACGGAACGATTATTTTTTCGTCATAGCAAGAAAAAAAAAACGGAAAAACACAAAGAAAGAACAAAGTAGAATCATGTTATTACTTCGACTGGAAACGCAACTGTTTTTATTGGAGACTCCTAAAAAATCATATCGAAATAGTAACATCTGCACCTAAAATGAGATTATCTGATAGAAGTCTAAACCAACATTCTTCAATTTCCCTTTTAATTGGAGGCTTTTTTAATGGAATTTAAAAATAAAGTTCTCGTCCACATGTTAATTAAATGAAAACCTCTGAATATAATTTGTAAACTTGTGTACCACTGTACAATCGGTGTTTACCAAAGATTTTCTTATGTGGTTTTTCTTCGTAAAACCCAGATGAGCTCTGTGTAAAAACTTCAGTTTATCATATTTATATTCAACACTCTGTTTTTGCCTTACGAATACTATTCCCGGTGGATCCATACGGCGCAGTGGGAATGTCGATGAACGCCGATTTAAAAGCTTTTGATTTTGTTACGCCAGTTATAATATTGGCAGGATCGACTGGAAATCTCATCGTCTGCTGCCTGATTATCACAAACAAAAAACTGAGGACTTCATTCAACTATCTTCTCCTCAATTTAGCCATATCTGACTTGTCATGCTTACTGTTTGTGGCTCTCTTCTACGCGGGGAAAATTCGAAATCTTTATTTCAGTGACGGAGATCGTACACAATCTGACTTCGAGGGCATTGCTTGCAAGGTAACTGTTGTAAGCATTGATTTAACCACGAAAATTTCTGTTCTTACTCTAGCTGCTATCTCAACGGACAGATTTTATGCAATAGTTCATCCTTGGAAGCACAGAGGAGCTTCAATAAAGACGAAAATACGAATCGTCCTTCTACTTATTTGGTTGGTAGCTGTGGTATGTTGTCTTCCAATGGTGTTTATTATGGCAAAAATTCCGAACAGATTTGAAGGAAAATCGATTGCGCCGCTTTGCTTTAAGTTTCTTGTGGATACAGACAGTTTTAAAGTTATTGCTTTTATTGATCTCATAGCTTCTTACGTTATACCAATGGCGATTATTCTGCGAACTTCACTGGAAGTCATCAAACATCTGTGGTGCCGTTGCTGGCGCCCGGTGCATCGCGAAGAAGGACAAATATTGACTAAATCGCGGAAACGTATTACGAAAGTCGTCTTTAGTGTTATCGTTGCTTTTAACATATTTTGGTTACCATGGGCGGTTCTCCAAGGTTCTCTTTTAATCGGTGCCGTTCACGAAATTAACGACAGAATGTTTCTTATCATGTTTAGTTTGGTATTAATCAGCGCTAGTGTTAATCCTATTCTATATTCGATTCAGAGTCGATTGTTTCGTAAAGGGGTCGGAAAAATGATCCGCTGTAAATCAGTTTGAATGTTCGGTGTAAATCTTAAAATGAACATTAAAGGTACAGGATATTTTTCGTTATTACTTTTTACTGTGTTATAAATTTAATCTTCAACATGTACAAATATTAAATTTCAGATTTAGACTCGAGTGAGAGGTCATAATTACTAGTAAGGTTTAAGTTGAATGAAGCGAATTATTATTCTCTTGGTACAGTTGTTCCAGAAATTAATAATTGTGGGTATGAAATAAGTCTTGAAACCCTCAACGAATATTCAAAATTGCAGCTCTTTGACCAGTAATTATAAAAGCATTTCAATTAAAAATTTCACTTGCTATTATAGTCTCGTAAATAGATTAAAAATATAAAGTTGTCAGCACTGACCGGATTTACAATTAGCTAATTCAACGTCTGTACTGTATGAAACATTTGTAATAAAAAATTCCACATGCAATTATCGTCTCACAAATAGATGAAAATATCAAGTTTTCAGAACTGACCGCATTCAAAATTAGTTGATTCCACGTCAGTAAAGTATAGAACATTTGTATACGGCATCAACTGTAAATAAAGTCTCGCGATACGAAACCAGCCTTCTTCCACAAATAATCTTTACATATCGCTAGAAACCCACATAACAAACATAGACAAACTCATTTAAAGCAAACCGATTAAAACAAAACCCTATTGAGACAAAACAAAATAATTAACGAACGCGATAAAAATGCAAATCCAACGCCAATAGTAGCCACATGTGTTACTTTCTACTCTGATTGGTTTTTTATTTGTCCAGAAGTAACGTATACATTAAGACGCCTTTGCTCCTCGCGCACCATTTTTAACTCGTAGATAAGTCTAGTACAGAAAACGAGTTATAGGTTACTCGATTTGCAAAAATATCCTACGCTCTTTGCATCACGAGTTGTGGAGTCGTAGTAAAGATTGCTAGCAGGAATAAGTGGGTCACTGACGCTCGAATACTTCTCAGCTTTGATTTTGCTTTGTTTTGTTTTCAAAAAAAGGAGAAAATTGAAGGAGGAACCGAATTTCTTTATTCAAGGCGAAAAAGTCTTGATTGGCTCGGTGCACTTTCATTCTCTGGGACAGTTGTTGTTTAATTGCATCATTAAAGCCAGACACCATGGATGCATTACTCAAACGATATACAACTGATTCCACTATTTCGGTATCTAATCATGTATGATCATCCGAAGCGTCACTAGAGTCGGCGTAATCACAGCAAACTAAGGAACTAATGGAAGAACTACTAATTAGCGCTGAATCTTCAGTGCTTCCATCAGGTGTGCCGTGAGTTTCCTCTTGTTTTGGTTGATTTGCGAGGCAATTCTGTGTTTGTTTTAAAGAGACGCTTTGTGACGTAACATCCGGGAGACTTGTTACAGGAAGTTCTGTCTCAGATGCTACATTTACAGCTAACTCAGGGTCTCTCTGTGATCCTAGCTCAGAAGAAACCACTGTTTCATTCACAGTGGGACTATTCGAGAGGTCATCAATCGAAGGGTCCTTATTAGTATTATTGTCTGAGCTCTCGTTATTACTGAGCCTGGTCCGTCGAACTTTAATACCCAATGTCCCTTGGGTGGTTAGTTCGTTCTTCGACTTGGGAGGTGTTGAATAAGAATTAACCTTGAGTTGTCTCCGTTTTCCGAGGAGTTGCATAATTTTTTGTCTTTTTTCCTCTAATTTTCCCTGTGTATCAAATAACGGCCTGTCGTTGATTTCTGAACGACGCTTACGGCGATGACCATCAAAACCTGGAAGAAGACAAAATTACATTGATTTTGAAAAATGAAATGAATTTACTGCAGTTAAGATGAGAGCACGACTTGCAAGTTCGTTTTATGCAGCTGAAAATCATTATGATCGAAAGAGAAATCTAGACGCAGAAACTAACAAACTATAACAAATTCATCACCAATAGAATATCTGCGCTTTTTGTCCTTCAATGCATTACAAATGGAATATTGAAGTTCGAAAGAGTCTTCAAAATACTATTGAAAGATACCTTGGAAAAAAAATGAGACTCCCTATTTAAAACAGAGGTTTCGAGCCTGATTCGAACTTTAATGTACTCAGGAACATGACCTTCAAACTATGAAAAAAAAAAAAAAAAAAAGTCAAAATTTCTGTCATTTCACACCTTTTCCATGATATCTTATTTTATGCGCATGTTCGATGTCTTCTTCTCTTTCTGGCAAAAGATTAACATCCAGCGCTCCTCTCTTTTGCAACTCTTTGTCTTTCATAGCTACAGCAATCAAATCCTGTTTCTGCTCACGAAATTTCTTTCTGAGAAGTTGATTAGCAGCGTAGTCATCATCCCATACAGACTGAACTTCCTGTAAGAGGAAAAAACTTCTTCAATAGTTATTTCCTAAATTGAAGAAGGGATAGGGGTAGATTTCTGTTTCTGCCTTACCTGCCAATGCTCCCACCACCCACCCCCCCTTGCACCCTTTGACCACTAAGAGTGACTAGCATCTAATTTCTCCTCACCATATCCCCCCTAAATCCCACATCAAGGTCATGAGAACAATGGAAATAATCACCAGCTAAAGAAGTTGTTGATTGTTAAACAAATTCTCCTTGACAGCATCTTAGAAAATTTATGGAGAACAGATGGGAGAATATGCATATTGGTGCCAGGGCGTTAAGGGGTTAAGAAGCCATCTGCAGAGTGGAACTTATTACATTCCTTTTCACACTCAAGCTTATTAAATTGAAGCATAATTATGAGTTCCACTTTTCTCTGCTCTAAGCTGTCAGACCATTTTACCTTAAGCTGTGCTAAAGTGGGCAAAGCTTTCTTAGACTTTTGTTGATCTTGAACACCATGTTCCAATTTAAACATTGCATCAACTGCCATCTTCTTGACATCCTCCTTGTCTAAGATAATAAAATAAAGGAATTAAATGAAATAAAATGACATAAAATAATGTAAAAATTTGACAAGATGCAATGAAAATAGTTGTAAAACAAAATGAAATGAATGAATGATGAGATGAACAATGACAGAAAATAGATCAAATTATGTGTTTTTTTAAAACCCTTACTGGTAAGAGACAGGCCACTTAAAATTGGTTGTTGCTGTACTGCCCCTTAATAACAGCCAGCTTTCACTATGCAAAGTCCATCAACCTGTACATGGGTGTGTGGGGAATAATGCTAAAAGAACTCTCACTTTTGGTAGGCAAACCAAATTGACTGTTGCTGTATTGCTCCTTAAAAACAGCCTGCTTTCACTACACAAAGTCAAACAGCTTACACAAGTGTGTGTGAAGAATAATGTTTTGAAAAGATCAGCCAAGCATTGAGAAGTTCAGATTAATTATACCATCACATGTATGTAACCCTCACCTCCCCCAAGTCTTAGCTACCACCCTGCATATCACATACTTGTATAGAATACAGCCACTGGCCAGCAAGCCTTTTTGGTGTGAGGTTAATGTTATCTATATTACATTCAGGCCTGTATTACATGCAAAATGTCTCTAATCCCAGGAGTGATTCACATGTAACTTCTCCCTATAATATCCATACAGAATCCAGAAAACAGGTAAAGAGTACACTCAAACTTATCAGGTAGAAGTTTTTATCTAGATCTAAACCTCACCAAATTCTTGTAAGCTACTTACAAGGAAATATGTAACAGCTAAAGGAGAGAATTAACAATGTGATCTAGGGAGTAAAAAGATTTAAAATTTGTTATTTCTAGTTTTGATTACCTGTTAATTCAACAGTTTCTGTAGCTGATGGTTCCCATCTTTCTTCTTTCCTTCTGGCTCCACTCACAATAACATAATCACAGTTCTTATTGAGACATAAAAATAATCAAATTGATGAAACGTATAATAAATGATTCAAAATTTAACTACATTGTAAGTTGTACCAGTAAAGTGCATCGTACAAAGTTTGAAATGATTTTTTTCAGTTGGATTAACTTTTTTTTGAAATAATGGTTGAGTATAAGAACATAAAAGTATAGAAAATATAAATTAATTATTTCAAAACAACATAATGTTGTATCATGAGAACCATCCTTCCCTAATAAATCTTCTCTGACTTAAACATGCCATTATCAGTATGTGCTGCAAATGCTTCAATTTTGGTAGGCATAATCAATAATACATGCACCTAACCAGGCAAAAAGGTAGCAAACACATCAAAGACTGTTACTTTTTTCTCCATTTCAGGTAAATTTCTATGTGCTTTAGATCATCACAAGAAAATGACTTTCAACTTTAACTTAAAGAGTAGATCAAGATCAAGAACGGAGTTAATTAATTGAGGAGGATTGTAATTACTTTGCAAAATCTTCTCACATATTTAAAGTTTTCCCATTGCATAAAATAAATACACTATACAGACTTAGGGCCTGATATTCCAGAACATTAGGTTTAAACCAAACCATGGTTTTATGCAAGCAGCAGGCCACTGTGATTCTTAATAAAAGGGTTGATTTAATTAAATAAATTTTCTTCCACTGTTAGCTGTTGCCTCTCTTGACACTGTGATCAAATGTAAATGTTCAGATAAAGCTTTTGCTAAATTGAAGATTAGAAGCTTAGAACATGCTATTGTTAAACTAATGCAGCTATACTTTGTTAAAATAACCAGCCGGTAAAAACCATCCCTCGACCCAGGCTGCCTCGTCAACATTAGTTATTTCGCACTCTGCATGCTAATTTATTATTCAGTCTGCGAGTCACATTGTTCAAGTTAGTTATCAGTTGTCCGTTGTCAGTCAAGTTTCGCAGTCAAGTTTCGCTTCTACGGCCCTTATCCCGTCTAGTTGTGTTTGCTTATTAGTTTATGCTTCCTTGTGTTCGATTTCTCCGAGTAATTTTATTTTATTCATCTATTTAGAAACCACATTGGCAATTATGTAACTATGGTGAGACATTAAATCGAAGTGAAAACCTATTGCTGGTGTGCGTCGTCTATACAGCCCCTGGATGTCCAAACAGTTTGTGGTTTCTACCACCTTAACTCTTTAACTCTCAGAAGTAATTATGGGATACATTACACAGAAAACAGGTAACGAGAATGCTCAAACTCATCAGGTACAATTTATTGCCTTGATTGAACACCAAATTCTTGTAATCAACTTGACAAGGAAATGTGTAGCAGCCAGAGGGGATAATTAACAATCAGATCTTGGGAGTTAAAAGGGTTAAAGGTAAACAGGGACTGTATCATTTTTTTTTCTTACCTTTGGATCAGTTTCTATTTCAAAGTGATTATCACAAAGGTGACATTTCATGCGAAATCTGTAGATGGGTGTTGTGTAGTAGTTACCAACTTTTTTCTTTTCTGCATTGTACCTCACACCTACAGGAGAGCCAATTAAAAGGCTAAGCCACACTGAAATAGATAACTGTCAAAAGAAATTTTGATTACTCTTTACTACCCTTTTCAAGCTTGTCGAAAATAAAATTAATATTTGGACCTCAAAAAACTCTGAACACAAGAAATATTTACCAAACACTAGTATATATACAGTCAAACCTCAATTATCTAGACTAGGCAAAACAGTCCAGATAATCGAGGGTATAGATAACTAAGAATATGAATATCAATAAGGAACAAAAACTGATTAGATTAAGAAAGCCACATTTAATTGCAAAACAAAATATTTATAAATCATTTTGAAAAAAATATGGTTTACATCTTCACTGTCTGTCATGAATACCTCTATACATGTGGATTAACAATTAAAATTAATGAAAAAAAATGTTTTTACATTGGCCTTAAGTGTTGAAGTAAGTCAGTTTGTCTTAAAGAAGAACATGGCATGTACATTGAGAGTTCCATCATTCTTCAAAGCTGCATAATCTGGATAGCGTCATTGTACCACAAAAGTGGAGAGTGCTTTTCACCTGCACTAATTGGCTGGTTCAGAAATGAACAGCACAAACCATTCAATTCTGAGTAGCCACTGAGACAAAACCATGTATCAAGAGTTTAATTTCTGACCATTTTTCAGTCTATTGAAAGCATACTGGTGCGCTATATTTTTGGTATCTGTGGGGTACATACAAGAACAATTATTCACCTCCACTTTCATGAATAATTGTTATCAGCATATTGTGTTACACGGAAAAAGTCTGATCAGGTGTGAGAAAATTGTACTTTAAACAACAATTAGTTGATGGTTCTCAGGCTTGATGCTGTGTGCTAAAGTTTAAGTATAGTTCTTGAAAACTGTGTGTGTGTAATACTAATTTTGAAAAAGTTTTCTAATAACTATTATAATTTATGCATACTGTACCCATTCCAATATGATTTCCACATCCTCCACACCATATGTTGTAGGGCATCTCAAATCTAGGAGAGCAAGGAACAGATTTTTAACAAATTTGAGAATTTAAGAGCAGTGAGTGACACAGGTATACTCTGAAAAAAAAAAATAAATAAATAAATAAAACTCTGAGTTCTCCCAATGGGAGTAGAACCTACATGATCTTTCCATTAACCCTTTAGCCCCTAAGAGTGACTAGCATCTAATTTCTCCTTACAGTATCATCCCTAAAACAAACAGGAAAGTCATGAGAATAGAAGAGGTGATCACCAGCTACAGCAGCTCTTGATTGTTACACAAATTCTCCATGTCAGCCTCTTTGGAATTGTATAGAGAACAGTATGGAGAATACACATTCTGATGTTAGGGTGTAAAGGGTTAATACTTCAGATGCTTTACCATAGAGCTATAGGAGACTAACAGCAGGCTAGTTTCATCACCTAACATCCTCTTGAATCAGAGTCACTACTCCCCTCCCTGGAAGGGAGTTTCAGGGGTTCTGCTGAGGTTGGATTCTTTAAGGAAACTCAGACTTTTTCTTTGTCACACGAAAAACATCTTTCTCTATTTCTTTACTGAGCTCAAAAACTTACCATCTTCCTTATTCTATTTACAAACATGATGCTATCAACATCACTGATCCTAGCAGTATGCAGGACACATGCCACATATAACCTTCAGAATAGGCTTCGCACACCGTAGAGTCTCTATGGCTCAGTGTCCGAGCATCAGAGTGCAGAATCCGAAGGTCTGAGGTTCAATTCCTCATGAGGACTCACAATTTTTTACCATAGAGCTGTAGGAGACTAACAGCAGGCTAGGCTGCTAGTTTTATTGGGTCCATGATAACACCCTTTCAGTATACTGGGAGGATAGAAATGTCACCATGTGATGCTTTAAATTTAAGGGGTACTTTAAATTAAAAAAAAAAAAAAAAAGGGTCTTGTTGCATTTGTGACACACTGCCAGATTCTCCTTTCAAATTGCCTCTGTTTTCCTTGTGAGACAAAGGGAGAAGTAGATGCTGTATGAAACCTTTACACCCTAACATCAGTATTCATATTCTCCATACTGTTCTCTGTACATTTACTAAGGAGCTAACTAGGAGAATTTGTCTAACAATCTAGAGTTTCTTTAGTTGGTGATCATTTCCTTTATTCTCATGACATTAATGTGTGATTCAGCAGTGATATTGTAAGGAGAAATATTTACACCAGGTCTAAACCAAACCATGGTTTTACGCAAGCAGTAGGTCTCAGTGATTCTTTGTAAGAGGGTTGAGCTAATTAAAAAAAATCTCCTTCCACTGTTCGCCTTTGCCACTCTTGACACTGATCAGAAACAATTCATAAATGATCAGATAAAGGTTTTGCTAAATTGAAGATAGCTTAGAACACGGTATTGTTAAACTAAGGCAGCTATACTTTGGCCATACCACTATACAATCATAATACATTGAAAATTTATGGAAGAGACAGTGCTAACAGGATCCATCGTAAAAAGAGAAGTATTTTGCGATTTGCATTAAAAAATAATAATAATAATTGTTAATTTTCTGGTTAGTATTTACCTAATAATGAGAATTCCTTGGCCAAGCTTTCGAGCTCGTTCACGTAACGGGTGTTGTCCATGGTATCTGTCAAGGGAGCCCTGATAAAGAGACGGAGATCGAACAGTTTAAGATACACTGTACATACAATTTTGTTGGATATAGTCATAATGTAATGTAGAAGAGGAAAGTTTAGTATTTACCTGTTGTGGAGTCCAATCTGGAGGGTAATATTTATTAACAGCTTTTCTTTCTCCCTATAGATGTAAAGTAGAACCATATGAAAATAACTGTTAAGTTAGATTAAGGATTTGGAAATGAATATTTACCATTTTCGAACGGTGCTGGACTTGAGTCCCAAATTATTGTAACGAAATCGACAACGAAACGTTGACAAGTCGATTTAAGGTCAGCGGATCCTTATGCCGAAGCGACTGGTGAGATACGCGGCATAATCTGTCTCTAAAATAACATGTTACCTTTTCTTTTGACCAAAACCAATAGTATTTCATAACTAGATGCATAGCTTTATAATTTTAGTATTTCAGATGTAAATTTTCCAATTTATGTCTAATCATAGATACAGTTGGCTTGACTTATTTCAATCTTGACGTATACATGAAGCACTTTTAAAAGCTCTTTCGCCAAAGACGGAACCGAGGTTAATGATGTACTGTTTTCGAAATATGGCGGCAACTGTCAAAGCTTTTTCAACTTTGCCGACAATTAAATTATTAGGAGCTTTGATCTCGCTTTAGTACTTTTGGCAATGGCCTTTGACAACAGGAGAGCTCTTTGGCTGGCAGCTGGCCTACTTTCAGGCTTAGGGACGGCTTTCTGTATCGCTGAATTACGAAAATTTATCAGGGAAAAATGTACGCGCAAACCACTGTCCCATCTGGAAGATAATATTAAATTAGAGGATCTGGAAATTCTCGTACGCTCTTCCAATTACTCACTGAGGAAGAGCGCCGAACAAGTTGTGCTGGATAAAGCAATGAAGAACAAAAATTTAGATTTTATCGTGAATGCCTGCTTCAGTGATGACGAATTTCAAGTTTTGAAGGCAGTTGTTGCTCTGGCTATGCTGGTAAAGAACTCGGAACGCAACGAAAGAGAAAAATTGATTGAGCACAAAGTACTTGAATCGCTCTCTCACTCCCTCGTTCAGTCGGTGCAAGTTGGCTATAGAAGGCTAGTCGAGATGGGAGGCTACGACTTGCGTTTGCAAAGATGTGCGTCGGAATCGTTATTTCATTTAATTTACGATGAAGAGACGACTAAACTTCGTCTGGCTCAGTCAAATTCGTCCATTTTTGCTGTTGTTTTACAGTTGATTTCGGAGGGGAGAAGTAAAGAGGTTATGCGATGGAGTTTGTTCATTGTTCATCAGCTGGCGTCCTGTGACTCGTTGCGACCTGAACTGTTAGCCAACGGTGTTATACCAGCTGTCTCGGCGATGCTTGTGAGAAACCAAGGAGACTTTATACTCATGAAAACATGTCTGCACACCATGGTGATGTTTGTGAACAATACTACGGAAAGTGAGATTGCACATCTCAAGGAGATGGCTAAATATGATGTCTTTAGGACGGCGGTGGTGTCCCTCAGAGCAGGTACACGTAAACTATGATTTCTCTATATACAGACAGATGAAATTGCACTTAAGACCTGTACTTACAAGTATTAGGCAATATTTAAATACAGGGAAAACTACACATGAGTTGGGCTGGATTGGGAATTAAACTTTTCTTCCAGATCACTGAGATATAAGAATCTATGTCAAAAATACATTAAAAGAAAATCATACCTAATTTCTCCTTACAGTTTTACTCTTGATTGAAACATTAAGGTAATGAGAATAAAAGAAATGATCAAAAAGTCAAGCTGTTGACTGTTGGAAAAATTATCCTCAGTGATACTGATGCATTTATAAGTTGATGCCAGTTGTTTGTCAGGTATCAGAAATCATACATTTTTCTGGCCAATTACTCGTAATTCTCTTGCTAAATTTTGATGGGGTGAGCTATTTCCTCCCCAGGAATTTCTATCCTTTTTCATTTCACTTTTCTCCAGGTAGTACATTGGTTAATGAAAAGCCCTTATATGAAGTGATAGAAATCTGAACTAGGGGATATTGTTTGAAAAAAAAAAATTCTAAAGCTAAAACTATAGGAATTATAATATATACAGCAAGGACAGGTGACATTAATAGTTTGGCAATCAAAAGGTTGACCATTAGTGGCCTTATTTCTCTTGAATCAATTTAAATTTTTGCATAGATGATGGTGACCTTGTTTACTGGGCAGCTGGACTTTTGCATCAGTTTGCTATTCAAGACCTTTACAAAGCAGAAATCTGTGCCACTCCAAACATTGTCAAATCTTTGCAGAATGTTTTATGCTCAAGTGAAGCAACTTTACAAAGACTAATTCTGCGTCTTCTCAGTTTCTTGTGCGTTGGAAGCAAATCCTTCAGGAACAGTGTGCTTCACTGCTCCTCACTTGTGGCACGGCTACCAGTTTGTCTTGCATCAGGTGACACAGACATTGTCCACTGGTCAGTGGTTCTGCTTCATGACTTGGTTCTTTCTGAAGGTCAGTGCTATATAGGAACTCATTCTTTATATAATTTTTTAATTTTTGACTCTTTTAATTTTTTTTTTCCTGGTCATATGTGACCTTGTTACATCCTTTATTAATAATGAGTCAATTACAGTTTCCTCAAATGTGATTGGTACATTAGCTGCTTTATTTTTTACTAATCATTCTGTACAGTTGTAATCAGAAAGTGTAATCAGAAAGTGTAATCAGTCAATTGTTGTAATCAAACACCTGTAATCGGACAGTTGAAACAGCCAATCATACTAAGTCCACTCAGCTAAATCCACCAATCACAGAATTGACCACAAGAACCATTGCAATGACCACTTATTCTAAGAAATTTCCAGAATTGACGAGTTTTTTTACTTTAGGCATTGTCTCTACTGGATGATTATTTTTTTAACTTTTGGAAATTGTGGCGGTTATGATTACTTCATCTGATTTTGTCAGTATGTAATTTTACTTATAACTGACAAATCGGACATCACTTTTGTGATTATGGACTGAATTTGATTCCACTCAGTCCTATAATACCAACTATTTATTTACAGCATTAGGGGACTTTGGATTGCTCTTGTGCACAATTACTGTATGTCATCCACTTAAAAATAATTCACCCTAAGCCTGTTTTTCACCAGTATTTTTATGAATCTTTGCCACTTCCTTGTTTTCATAAAAAAATTGTTTTGAAGTCTGTTTTGGGAATATTTTCCTCTTGAATCAGAGTCACTACTCCCCTCCTTGGAAGGGAGTTTCGGGGGTGGTGCTGGGTAAATTTCCAAGGTACCCGTGCCCATAATTAAGGCCAAGTGAAAATGAAAACAAGATCAATCTTAGAGAAAGATAGAATAAGGGGGATGCAGTGTTCTCCTTTTCAGGCAGTAACCAGTAACATTTGCCGCCTGTAGTACCTCTTATTGCTGTTTAAAATTGAAAATTCAACAGATAAAAGGGTTGCTTTACTGGTTTGAAAATTTATTTTACCTGTCATGCTTAAAATAAGGGAGAATACTGAGGATGGTGAGTTTTTTAGCTTGGTAAAGAAATAGAGAAAGATGTTTTTCATCTTGTCACAAGGGTATAATATGATATTATGTGTCTTTCTTTCATGAACTTCGTAGTCAGACCTTGCTCACCAAAGAGTCTCTGTGGCTCAGTGGCAGAGCATCAGAACATGGAATCTGAAGGTCTGAGGTTGGATTCTTTATGAAAACCGAGAATTTTTCTTTGTCACATGAAAAACATCTTTCTCTGTTTCTTTACTGAGCTAAAAAAACTTACCATCTTCTTTATTTTATTTACAAACACAATGCTATCAAAATTGCTTATCCTAGCAGTATGCAGGACACGTGCCATAAATGAACTTCAAAATGGGCTTTGCACACCATAGAGTCTCTATGGCTCAGTGTCAGAGCATCAGAGTGCAGAATCCAAAGGTCTGAGGTTCAATTCCTCACGAGGACTCAAAATTTTTGCTTTGTTTCATGCTTGTGACAAGATGAAAAATATCTTTCTCTATATCTTTACCCAGCTCAAAAACACTAATGTACCATCTCCCTTATTCTATTTACAAAGATCAATCTTTTGACACAATGATTGTCTTTTGTCTGTAGGGAATCCAGCTGCAAATCGTGCTGCAGCTCTGAGAGTGCTGTCCATGGCTACTGATGTGATCAAGGCTCTGGTCCCACTGGCCTGCAGGCAAGATAACATCTTGATTCGTATGGTAGCAGAACTCCTTGGTCTCTTTTGCACTATTGGTAAGTTTTGCTTGAAGTCTCACATGATTAGTTTTTAGGTTTTAAAATGTTAAATACTCATTTATCATCATCATATTATTACTATCCAGAAAATTTACAAAGCAGAGTACTTGAGGATGGCTGCCTAAAAGCTGTGCTGGCTTACTCAGAGTCAGCAGATACTGAACTGCAATTCTGGGCATCAGCTCTACTGTTGAACATGGCCATGACATCTGACGGCGTCAAGAAGGAAATCATTATGCTGGGAGGATTAAAATCTCTAATGGAGTTAGCCATTGGGGACAGTGATCACCCGCAGTGTTCTGCTCATGCAGCCAAGACTCTTGTCATGTTGGGATTTCTTGGTGAGTGGAATGGATTGGATTGTAAATGACTAATTACATGAATAGCACTCCATACTGTGATCATTTTGGTCACACTTGAAAGTAGAAAAAATCTTGAGGCATAAATTTGCTACAGAAATAATTTTTTAAAAATTTATTTACCCACATGACACTTTCGATGTTTGTGGTCCAAGCGATATCCAGGACTAAAGCCTGACTGCACATATGATTTGTAAATACAAAATTCTTCACGTGTTTTTCTTCATCATTTATACTAAAATGACAGAAAATGTTGTGGGAAATGAAGACTTTCCAAAACAGCATCAAAAAATGCTTATATTGAAATAACAGGGTTTTCAAATGCTCCTTTTCTTTTTGTGGAAAATAAAACAGGTTTTTGAAAATGTTGATGGAAAAAGTTCTTCACTCACTGTCTTTTCATCAGTGTTTTCATGCATTCTAGTGTAAACGATAAATGCAAATGAATTAACACTACTGTCTAAATAGAGACTACTGTCTAATGGTGTCTGATTTTAGACTATAGTGGCTGATTTTAGGCAACAGTGTCCGATTTTGGATACTTGTGTCCGATTTAGGTCACCATTGTCTGTATTTAGACCTTAGTGTTTGATTTTAGACACTGGTGTCTGGTTTTTGACACTGGTGTCCAATTTTGGACACCAGAGTAAGATTTCAATTACTAGTGTTCAATTTTAGAAGCTACTATCCAATTTAAGAAACCAGTGTCCAAGTTTTGACCCTTAAGTCTGGTTTTTGACTTTAGTGTCTCATACTGGACACAGGTGTCTAATTTTAGAAGCAACCATCTGATTTTAGACACTAGTGTCCGATTTTAGACTTTATTATCCGATTTTAGACACAAGGGTCCAATTTTTGTCACTAATATCCAATTATAGACACCAGGGTTCGATTTTAGACATGGATGTCCGATTTTAGACTCTAGTGTCGGATTTTGGATGCTAGTTTCTGGTGTTGGTTTCTAGTGTCTCGATTTGAGGTTGGGCCACCTGCACCTTTTTTTTTGGCTCTTACCACAATCTTATGTACAGCAACATGAAACCAATTTGTAATCTTTTTTAACCATTTAACTCCCATGGGTGACCAAGACAGAATTTCTCCTTAAAATATCAATACAATATCAACCAGATAAGTGATGACAACTAAGACAAATATCAATTAGGGGATTATAGGTTGATCCAATACCAAATTCTTAAAACTAACATCGCAATAACTGTATGGCTGACAGTGAGGAGAATTTCGAATGAGATCTTGGGAGCTAATGGGTTAAATACTGCTATCAGCGTCTTATAGAAAAATAAAATACTTAATCAGATTGGTGAATAATTAGCTCAGTTGTTTGATGCAGAAAGGTAAAAGTAGCCTATTGTAGACACGGTCAGTCGAATAGTGTCACGATAAGCCAAATTTTCTCGGCTTGGTTTGGGGCTACGTTGCGCGCGCTGCGAGCTCTGCTGATATTCATTCTGTGCGGATCACTATAAAAATTATGTTTTATTATGTCTTCTCTTAGACACAGAAATCCCAGTGTGCATCAAGTCGCTTGGGTACAAAAACGGCGACCGTGTTAGTATTTTAATCAACGGCAAAGAACATTGTCCTAATAAACCTGGTATCAATATCGTGGTGATGGACTTCACGACATTCAACGTCACCGAGGCTGCAGCATTCGATACTGGGCACGACAAGGAAGCCAGCGATCACCTTGTGGAGTTTGTTGATATGATACCAATAGGTACACTGGTTTTCATAGCGGTGCGAGGAGAGGCAGACTATTATATGACTGGTAAGCAAATTGCTTTTTAATAAAAAGAGTATGTTTCTAAAGAAACTGTGGTGCTTCATTGATGGGGAATCATATCAAGATAATTTGGTGTTATTAACTGAGTTAATAGTGTAAATTGGCTACCGTAAAGAGTCTCTAAGCCGACATTTCGAGTGTTAGCCCTTCGTAAGAGCGAAAGGCGAAGTTTGCTCTGATGAAGGACTAACGCTTAAAACGTCACCTTTGAAACTCTTTACGGTGGCCAATTTATATTATTAACACAGTTGACAACATCAAATTATCTTAAAATTGCTCTTTAGTTCAGGAAAATTCATTTTTGCCCATCTTCGGGTCACGGACTCCCATAGCGAGATGCCAGCTCGGGGTGAATTTCTAAAGACTACCTAAGTTTTTCAATGTTGTTTTTGTTGTTGTTTTTACAATCATTTTCAGACAAGGCAAGATTGAGTCTAAAAGACATTGGTATCGAAGATTATAATTTCAAGACTGGCGAACTTTGGACATTTTGTGGATACAAAAGAAGAGATGGAGCAGTACAGATTTCTCTTCAACGAGGCTTTGATGTTGTTGAGCTGTCCACGACGCTAAGTTTAGGTAAGAATTTAAAATTATAATATGCATATTCTCCGTACTGTGCTCTATTAATTTCCTTAAGTGCTAACAGGGAGAATTTGTTCAAAAATCAAGAGCTTCTGTAGTTGGTGATCATTCCCTTCATTCTCGTCACCTTAATGCGTGATTCAGGGGTTATAAAGTAGGGAGAAGTTAGACGCTAGTCACTCTTAAGAATCAACGGTTCAAAGAGGTTGTGGTTGTTCGTCGTGATGAAACACAAACAAAGGCTAGTTTTCCCAAACGTTGGGAAAACCAAATCGGAAGCAGAAGACAAATGCCACGTGTGATTTCGTCGCTTGTGACGTGTAAAAGCCAGAGTGTTAGAGTCCTAAGTCATCGGACGACCTGAAAACTCGCATTTCGATCAGTGGGATTTACCATTAACCACGAAAAAGTTACTCTGCATTTTTCTCTCTCGCGAGATGCTCCGGGACTGTCGAAGATTTTGACAAATTGACGTAAAGTCTGAGAGCTTTCCGATACTAGCTCCGAGCATCTCCGAAGATTTAAGTATGTAAGTAAGTAAGTAAGTATATAAGATGTTCTTGTAAGCCAAAAAATAGTAAACAACCGAATTTGAAGCCAGTAGGCTCAGTTAGTTTTACTACTTTTTACCTTCTACCTTTTGAATAAAATATTGATTACCCATGTGTTTCCTTCTCTAGGTTACCATTCAAATGAACAGGTCCAAGGTTACATTCTGTTACCACTGATTGATCTTTTGATGAGCACGCCTGCTTCGCTCGCCATCAGCAAAGTGTCAGAACTGGAGCTGTTAACTGTTCTTGCAAGACATGATCATCATAAAGAAGGTATGTGGAGTTCCCTTCAAACTGTACGATATATCCACAAGGTAAAACTATGTTTCCCTCAGGGAAAGGCGTGCGACAGAAATCATATATCATAAACTTTTTTCTTAGCGATCTAAAAGTATGTAAAAGATAAATACTACTGCCTACAGCGTTTGAAATTACCCACGGGCATGAATGAAGTCGAAAAAGGCTTAATTTTTTATGAATTAATAATGTTAATTGGACAGAGTGGAGGCTAATTTGGTTTGTAATCAAATGAGTGACTACCGCAAAGCAGGAGTCCGATTTGTCAATCACGAGTATGATTACAGACAAAGTTGGACGACTCAAAGTCCTGTGACCAATTAATCATTACCAACACAATTTCGGGAAAAAAGCAAACCAACAAAAAAATACACATACAATCCAATTGTGTCTCTCTTTATGAGAAAAGAGATGGAATTTATATTTAATGCATGTTTTCAAATTTGCAACGTTTTTGAAAACGGATATATATATATATATCTGAAAGTTGGACAAATCAATAAGTGACCTGTGACCCTTAAGCGTGAAACTCAGAGTCACAGAAAAGTTACGTCTTATTGGTTTGTCCAACTTTCAGATATACCACGCTCTGCGAACGCATCGACCATTATACCGCAAAGATAGACTATAATCAATATATATATATATTTTTTTCTTTTATTTTTTTAACGCGTATACTCTTTGCTTTTATTTCAGTGATGGTCAACTCGGAGGGTTTTATGGAGTACATTGTGCAGTTGATTTATAGCATGGCAAACAAGACAGCTGATCATCTGAGGGCCAATCCATTGCTAATAGCCCACTGCATTGGAGCAATGAAGATTATCACTGCAATCAGTATTTCCCAGGAGATCCATGTAATGCTCCTTTGACTTTCTTAAGGCTAACTGTAATTTAAGCAAGGTTAAAACCAACGCAATGCAGCGGTTTCACCTATGCGATGCAGGCACCTCAAGAGAGTTTTCAGTGGCATCGTTTTGTGCTTTTGCTACATTGGCTGTTTCCCCGCTGGGTTTGCTTTCCACCCTTCCCTCCCCGCCCCATCCCCCCCGTTTTTTTTTCCAGCCTCCCCTTCCCCCCTTCATTCCTCCTAAGTTGTCGTGTTGACAGGGACCGGCGGTGGGCTTCTGCCTAAATGATGCAAGTTCGCTCTCGCCCTGTGTTTCAATCTGGAGCATCTTTCATTCGTTGTTGTAATCGTCTACGAATGTTCAGGTCTCTAATTTGTAGCATTTTTTTATCAAACTTGTAGGATAAATTCACCGAATACAATGTCTTGGATTGTGTTCTTAGCCTTCTATCTCTGATCAACTCTATTCAGCTCGAAAGGCTGAAACAGCAGCTTAAAACAAGAACTGGAAGAATGGGACAAACAGACATTTTGGTAATTGAAGCAGAAGATTTCAGTGACAACGAGATTGTGCAGCCAGTCGAGGAAAACGCAGTTAGTCATGTGGTTAATTCTCCTGAAGGAAACTTCTCCAGTGTACCAGAAGAAGGTTAGTTTTCGGAGTGTTTAAAGGTATTACTTGCTATAAAAACTGTTTCCTGCGTTGGCTACAAATGACGCCCTTACATGCTTACTGCCGTAAACCACCTGCCTCTCCCCCCATTCTCCCTCCCCCATTTCACCTGTTGAAGTCCCTTCTACCCGTGGGAAAAAGAAAAAAACACATCGATTATGAGCAGCCCCCCTCCCCCTCCAGAATAAAGCGTCCTTTGTGTTGAGAGATTGTTACCCTGCTGCGAATTTAACATTTGAATTTTAATAATAGGAGGGGAAGGATGATCTTCAAAAAAGAATTTCAAAGCGCTTTTTCTATTCCGATTATATGCTTCCTCAGGTATACCCTACCCCCTCCTTCCCCCACCCTTTGTAAGCCATCCTAAACCCTAAGGGGGAGTTTACGGTATTATTGAGGTTTCTTTACTTGCTTCCTTTCGTTTGCAGTGAAACTAACAGCAAGTGGCTTAAGAACTCCGGTTCACGGCCCCACTACAGACGAACCAGCCTCTGTAAAAAGCGGTTCCCCGTTTTATAGCACGTTTGAGAAAAAATCCAACACGAAGCCTCTCCTGACAGAAAGCGTGACAGGAGAAGCGATAATTCAAGATGACTTAGATGAAGCGTTTTCCACTCTTACCGGCCTAAGTGTGATAACGCTTTACAACTGCATCGACTTGATTTCAAGTCTGGAGGAGTTTCGTAGGCGCCTCTCTAAGGCTGAAACTATGCGGATTTTGTGGTGTCGACTTTTGACTGCCTCGTGTGGTTCATCGACCATTCAACAGATTGAACTCGCCACTGAAATGTTACTGAATTCGTGCTGCTGCATGACGATGTTGGGAAAGTATACCACAGGTATGAATGTATGGAAGACCTACACCGCGGTCAAACTTCTAAGAACGTAATAACTATAAGACTTGCTTTCGGGCAGTCATAGCAAATTTTGCTTACAGGAGTTACAAACAACCTCTTATAATAAATAAAGCAGTTCACGACTAAATGTTCATTCAAAAGGATACCCGTACTAAATAGAATACGCTTCGTGTTCGGAAAGTCTCGAGTTTCCCGATTCCCTTCTTTTTTCCCCCTTTAAAACTCTTGTGCACTTTTTTTGCGCTTGTTTAACGTGACAGTAGTCGTTTCTTTTTTCTTCTTTTGAAATTTTACGCGGGAAATTGACGCGTGGCAGGCAAAAATTGAACGTAGCGTGACCTAAACGCCCATATTAACTTAGTCTGCCAGCAGGTTCTCATTATTCCTGTCCTTGGACCTACTGTTGTTGTTGTTTATTGGTTTGTTTCTTTGTTTGTTTCTTTGTTTTTTTTTTTTTGTCGTGCAGAACTTGTGGTAGAGCTTGACGAGCAGACGAAGACTCCGGCTCTTGTACTGAGCGCGGATCGTCTGGAGGCATCAAATCCAAACTGGACTTTTGAAAGCGTGCATGCCACCTTGTGTGTGGGACGTGGGATGTCTACAGTGCCACCTTATCCGGCTGGCTGGTACTATGAAGTCACCCTGAAGTGTACAGGAATACTGCAAATAGGTACCTATTTTCGTATCGTTCTTCCTCGCCTCTCGGACGTTTTATTTTTGTTTAATTTTTGTTTAATTTTTGTTTTATTTTTGTTTTGTTTTTGTTTTGTTTTTGTTTGTGTTTTGTTTTTGTTTATTTTGTTTTGTTTTGTTTCTGTCTTCATTGTCGTTCTGGTTTTTGTTTTGTTTTGTTTTTGTTTTCCTTTGTTTTGTTTTCGTTTTGTTTTTTTGTTTTTTGTTTTGTTTTTTGCAGTGGAGAAATCTTTACTTGCCTAATTTAATTGATGATTTATTTTCAAAAATAATATTCTCCCTCTTAAGGCTGGCAAACCGAAGAATGCCGATACGGTCCCGAGCGAGGCGTTGGAGTTGGTGATGACAAGAACTCGTGTGCATTCGATGGTGCGCGGTGTAAAGTATGGAGTGGACCCCCTAGTGAACAACTGAACAATGACTATGGAAAGGAATGGAGTTACGGGGATGTCTTGAGCTGTTTGTTCTCTTGGAATGGAGAGGTGTCCTTTTGGTTGAACGGGGTAGATATGGGTGTGGCGTTTAGGGGGTTAAACCCTGGGGTTAATTGGTATCCTGCAGCATCCATCGCCATGGACCAGCAGTGCTGCTTCAACTTTGGTGGCAAACCCTTCAGGTGTGACTTTCGACACAGAAAAATTTGTTGATACAGTAAAACCTATTTTATCCAAATGAATAAAGGGGGCAAGTTTCTAAAGAAACTGTGGTGCTGTGAAAGGGGCGGGAGGGTGGGGTTATTACTAGATGACAGGGAGTTTTAGTTCCACTAAGGGCGACTAGCATCTAATTTTTCTTTTCAATAACACCCCTGAATCACGCATTAAGGTCTCAAGAATAAAGGAAATGGTCACCAATTAAAACAAAACAAATCAAAACAAAACAAAAACAAAAAGCTTTTGAAAAAATTATCCTTGTCTGATCCCTAGGAAATGTATGGAGAACGGTATGAAGAGTATTCATACCGATTTTAAGGTGTAAAGGGCTGAGAGACCTTTATCGTGTAGCATTCATATGGATTCGCCGGGGATACGAAGGGGATACGACTGTTTTACGAAAAGCCTTCGGATCTACTTGGATATAGCTAACCATCTTGCCTTGCAGCGGATGTGACAGCTATCTTTTGTTCTATTACAGGTATGAAATGCCTGATGGATACATAGCTGTAAGTCACGTGGTCTCTAACCTGGTCAAGAAAGCTTCACTGCGCCTATCGTCGTGTTGGACACCAATCAGCGGTAGCTTTGAAAGCATTGTGGAGGAAGATGAGGAAGTGATTGATGATCAAGAACTTGAGGCCTCAGAAACTAAGACTGACGATACAGGTATGCTCATATGAGCTTTGTGATGCACCAACATTTGTATTTACTGCGCAGGAATAAAAGAGGTATTTCGTATTCTTTCCTAGTAGTATGCAGAACGTTTGTCACCCTGGTCCTTGTTTAACGGCCTAGCTCCTTGCTATATCTCAATTGTACACCATCTGGAGCACTATATCGGAAGGTCATGGGTCCAACTTCTATTGAGTACACCCGGAGTTTTTTTTTTCCGAGTATGGTTGTGTCATTCACCAAATAATATCATCTTTCACTTGAAAAACGTGTTCTTCTAATATAGTAGGCAAACCTCAGAGTTTTTTTCTTTCTGTCGCAGTTGTTATAAAAAGATCAATTCAAAGAAAGTAGTTATTGTTGTAATAACAAGGCAAAGAAAAATGCGATCACTTTTTTAAACCGTTGATAAGTGTTGATTCACAAGAAGCGTTAGAAAATGAATTTTTTAGGAAGACGATGAGCAGAAAAGGTTGAATAGGTTGTCATTTTGTAATAATTTGAAAGATTTTCATACACTTAAATAAAGATAAACTAATAAATACGCCTACCATAAATCTTCAAATGTGCGAGACTTTTTTGAGACAACCTATACTTAAAAAGGAAGATCTTTTGCGCACCAAAGATTTGAATAGTTTGAATAATTAGACTATTATGGGGTAAGTGAGTGATGAAGTTATGATAAGAAAAAAATGGAGAGGGAGGGAGGAGATGGTAAGAAGGAAAGAGAAAGGGAGATTGAGGGGAGGGGAGGGAGGGGAGACAGAAGAAAGGGGAATCGATCGGAAAGAAAGAGAAAGAAAATTTTGGAGAAAGCCGGTACATGAGGAAAGCTGAGATAGACAGTTGTGAAAGGTTTTATGATTTTATTTTTTCATTTTGTTCTCAGCACAAACACTGTCGATTCAGACTTGTGATAAGGAGCCTTCTAGTGTTGCCATGAAGGAGGAACAACCATCCGTTCTTTCTCTGGAACACAGCGTGGCTGATTCAGACGTGTTGTTTGACTACCAGGACACTTCCTCTGTGAGCGAATGTTCTCTCGCCTTATCTCCTGAACCCACAAATCATTCTTTAACATTTGTTACACCTCCCTCTGGTGTCTTCACCACGCCTCAAAGCTCTCCGCCCAAAGTATCTGGGCATGACGTGTTCTTTCCTGGAACCGAGCCTGAGCCTTCGCCGTTTGAAGTGGTATCGACTGGCGACGAGACAGTGAGTGAAGAAAAGCCTCCATTTGAAGAAAAACACGTGACCAGCACTCCATATTTAGGCGTAGGCCCTTTGAGAGACTCTATTGGAAGGCACTTTGAAGCAAGGTCGCGTCTGAGCTCCTGGCCACAAGTGGCAACCCCAGGAGAGTCTTTCATAGGTAAGGGATGCGTAGTCACGATGGAATTTGCATATTCTTTGTCTCTCACACTAGAAGACTGATTATGTAATGAAATCTAATCCTCGGTAGCGAGACGCAATTTTTTTATTGGAATGTTTAGGATATATAATCACTGACTGAATTGCAAAAAACGAAGATCGTGGACCTTTTCTGTAGAATATTTAAACCATGTCGTGTCTCTTTTCCTTCGATTTTTCGTGTTAACATTTTCACTGAGATTTTCTTCTTCCTCAGAGCCAATTGTGCCTTGTCTGTACTTCGAAGCAGAGCTGAAATTTGCTCCATGCCGAGTCAAACAAATGGGTTTCATCAATGTGGAAACAAGGGAGAAAATTTATTGTGACGTACATGACGGCCATCTTCAGTTTCCTAAGTCGTCCATTCCCACTCCGCACGAACAACAAAGTTTCAGGGTCCCGGATGTTGTGGGCTGTGCAGTAATATTATCGACGGGACAGATCATGTTTACCTTAGATGGAGTAGCAACCGGACAATTTTACGACTTTCCATCAAGTAAACCATCGTCGATGGTCATTGAAAATCTTTTTCCGTACATATCTTGCACTCGAATCCGTTGTAACTATGGGCAGCGGTCGTTCCTGTTTGGGGATGCGAATAACAAAGAGTCTCTTGTTATGAGTGGGGCTCTGCTGCATGGACTGGCCGAAGAAAACTTAAGGCTGTAGGCTGACAATATAAGTGTATTTAGAACAACACAGCGGTCAAACGTCTGCGCATGTGCGGCCTTTGGAATGATTCGGCGGCGTGTTTTCAGGCTGTCAAAACCAAGCGGCCTCACGCGAGTTTCAAGCAGCCACATAAGCCCTCGGTCACTGTGTTTTAAAAGCGTATAGCTTTTTCGGTAAAGCTCAAAACAGAATGCTTTGCAAGTCTCGAGTTTTTCCATTTCTCTACTTTAGTTTTTTTTTACAGATTTCTGTGAACTTTTCCAATTATCCTTTGCTTATTTTGTAAAACTGCGGTTGTTTTCCTTTGAAATTTTGTGCGGGAAATTGGCGCGCGGTCGACCAGAACTGAATCCCTCGCGCATGCCCGACCTTTGACCGCTGTGCTATTTAGAAAAAGGTACAGTTTCAAGTTAAGGCCCAGCAGCTATCTATGAAGTATTCGATTGCTTTTTGAAATGATGCGAAGCAAGTTAAGTATTTTTGCTGGACCTCTTTTACCTTTTAGAATGTCTTTCTCGTGTCGGTTGTAAGTTTGTGAAAAATGTGTCATAGTGGTAATCTGACATGCGATAAAAAAAACATTCATGTTTCCCGGATTCCTTGTGTCAGTCATGTGGTAAGAAAAACGAAAAACTAGTGACTGTTGGGACAAGAACGATAGAAGAAGCATTTTCAATGCGAGAGGAAAATTTATAACAGGTATTGCAGATTTTTGCCCGCCGGAATCTTCTACAAATGTCTCATTGTTCTATGAATTTAAAAGTCAGTAGGCAGTTCCCAAAACTTATAGCAAATGCGTTAACTGTGATATGCTCCGTGGTGAAGACTGTTGATCAGGATTTCGTCCAAAGTGTGTCCGGAGTTGGGTCCAAGAATTTTTGCCAAGGGACCAAAATGACTTCTCGATCAAAGCACGCATCCACTTGTATCCCCCCCCCCTTCTTCCCCCTTCCCCCCCCCCCCCTTCTTTTCCCCTCTCTGTGTTGCTAAATAGCACCCCTAGCAGCTCTGCGGTTTCTAGGTGAAAAAATATAAAATATAAATGAGTGAAAAATGAAAAAAACAAACAAATGGGAAAGGTTAAATCCTAGAATTTGTTAAAACCCACCTATCAAGATTATTATTATCATTTATTGTATTCTATTTATTTATTTATTTTTTTTTTTTTTTGGAAGCCTTTACTTCCTCCTTTGTTGACGGATCACCTCGTAATTCCAAAGGCCTGTGGATGAGATTTTGCCCGCCAAACTTTCATTTTGGACCTTGGTAACCCGGCCAGTCATCGAATTCAATATGGCCGACTTTCGGGTCCGGATAATACCTAAATTGAAAAGATTCGAAGGTTAACAAGATCTTTAGAAACTTGCCATGGATAAGTTCGTCATTCGAACTAAACGTTCTCCTAAACCTGAGCGGAAAATTACCGAGACGGCGAACAGGAAGAAGCAATCAACGATTGAAAGCCTAGCGGTAAACAATTGAATTATCTGCTTCGTTACTAAGCTTCGATATCTTTATGCTTCTTTAACAATTTTTTTAATGCCGTTTGTGAAGTAAATTGGTAGTGCACTGCTTAAAATTAGAGTCTAAATAAGCCAGAAAATAACATTTAATTTCCATTCCATACATAACTCTAAATTTACTTCAGAGGTTGCTTATTGTATTTCCTAGTCACGTATGTATGGGTAATAAGATGATTCATAATGGTTATAGGACCGAGCGGAGGCCAATACGTACACTGTCCTATTAGTCCTCAAATCGAGTCGGCGAGAACCTATCACGATCAAGAATTGTGTTGTAGTTTTGATTATGTATGCAATTTGGTGTTAATAGGTATGAATAAAATTTTCAAAGACAACGAAATTGCACGAGCTGCAATGCAATTTTTAGTCTTTGAACAATTTTTCAATTGCTTATTACACCAAATTGCAAGAGAAACCATGCTATTAGGTTAGTGTTTGCACACTATTTGTAATTTACACTCATTTTAAAAAATTGCACTCGTGTTACATGAGAATTAATGCACTCATTTTCCAGCCAATCATAAGTGCATAAGTTTTTCATGTACATTATTAGCTGAATTACGCATATATTTTGATTGGCTATGATGATCTATCAGAGGACAGACCCATAGATGAAGTCATCATGAACCCTTTACACCCTAAAATCAGTATACATATTCTCCATACTGTTCATTATACATTTCCTAAGGTGCTGACAAGGAGAATTTGTTTACCAGTCAAAAACTTCTTTCATTGTTGATCATTTCCTTTATTCTCATGACCTTAACATGTGATTCAGGAGTGATAATGTAGGGAGGGATTTGATGCTGGTCACTCTCAGGGTTTAAAGAGTTAATCTTTTTTTTGTTATATTAAACAAATGGATTTCGTGTTGCCATGGGTTTGTACAGTGATAGATCACAGAAGACATCAAAATGTGGCAAGAACAGAAGTGACACATTCACCTGCTGTGCCTTATGTGCCACTGCTTTGTTTTTACTACATTTTGAGGTCATCTGATCAGACTAACAACAACATTGAATCTTTCTCTTAATTCTTTAAGAGTGTGGTTGTAGTGGAAGAAATCCAGCGTCTCAAGCTTGAATTAGAGAATGAAGTTTCCACGCCAGAGACAATTTTGTCAGCACTAAAAGTCTTGGGCAAAAAGAATTTGTCAAAAGAAGTGTTAATGTCCACCAAAGTTGGACACACAGTAAATCGTCTGCGACGGCAGGGAAGTACTGAGGAGATAAGGCAACAAGCAAAAGTTGTATTCAGGAGATGGAGACAGTTTGTAACAGACTTGGAAAAGGAGAAACCCTTGATAGAGGTTCACTGTGACAAGAAGACTGAAGCATTAAGAGGAAAAGGGAGGCAATTGATTGCTGATGCTCTTCAAATGACAGTATGATTAAAGTTGTTTGTATATTTAGTTTATTACTGTGAAATCTATTTACAGAGTCACTTAATAAACATAAACAAACCACTTCGATTAAAGAAAACGAGAGAGGCTCTTGATTGGGAAACAAATTCTCCTCGTCAGTGCCTTAGGAAATACATAAAGAACAATATGAAGAATATGGATATTGATGTTAGTGTGTATAGATGGTCAAGGCATTAGTGGGTTGTCAGAAAAACCTTTTCAAATCTTGTTAGTTCTTTACAGCCTGGTTGAAAATTTGATTCTTCACTTGATTAATGACTTCCTTTCCTTATATTTCAGCCATTAGAAAATTTACCAGAACTTATTGAGAGAACTGTGTTCCATACTTATGGTAGACTTATAAATAATACCTACAAAAGGAAGATGCGTTCTTTGGTTTTCATCCTTAAACACAGGGATTCCATCCGAGAGAAGGTGGTCACTGGAGAAATATCAGTCAAGAAGCTTGTTTCATCCTCTGTAGAGCAGCTCACCTAAAAATTTACAACTTGGCCATTTATCATTTTGGATAAACAGCATTTCTATATTTATGTTGAATTAACATACAATTTTTTTAATAATGCAGGACTTGGACAAAGGAAATATATCATAATTTTTTTCCTATATTTTATCATGCTATTAAATACAAATAGTCTGAAATATTTAAAAATTAAAAGTGAGACTCAATTTCTAACACAAAATGTCTCTTACAGATGTAGTTGAAGTAAGCAGTTTACTCACAATACCATGCAATACAATAATTTTTGATGTGTTTAATACAATAAATTGTTTATTATCATGGTCCTTTAAGTGCTAAATTGATTTGAATTTACATTTTTTGAAAACTTCTCAAGGAAAGTGGTGGAAAGAAGAGCTGGGCCTCAATTTGTTGACCTAAGATTTTAGTCAAGTTCCATGCCTTTCATGTTGGTGATTGGCACAATTGTTCACGTTAGGTACCGTGTGATTATGCAAGATCAGTCTTTTTCTTGTATGGAAATATCAGAGCTAGAGGTATTAAAAGGAAGAGGTGGTCATAATGTAAATGACTCTGACTTTTTTTGAGGGGAGATCACATGGTTCTCAGGGAAACGGAGTATGAAAGGGGGGGGGACAACAGAGAAATGACAGCCAATCAGAGGGGATCATCAGAATACTATGGAGCCTTATGGGGAATCAGGGAATATTCATCGTGACACAACCAAAATCCTCCCATCCATCCCCAAACAGTGTTCGATTCGTATTGATAGGGTTGCAAAATCGAGAAACAAGACGTTATGTCATTCATTGTAAGCTGGAAATGTTTGTTTAGCTAAGAAATTCGATTCCTAATCATATACAGCAAATGTAAACTAGCACACAACTCGATTAGATTTTTTATTCCCACACGGATCAGAAAGCACAATGCAAATCATTTGGTAACCAGTAGTCTCCTCTCGGAGACAGCCGAGCAATTGAAAAATGGGTAACTCACTTTCTCAAAGTCTTAACAATGGGGAGATAAAAGTTCACTTGTATCCCCTTAGTTACTACTTTCTTTCCCCTTAGTTGTCCAGTATTTGTCGTATCCTTTGCCTTCAACCCGTCTTTTTTATCATATCCACTTTTCTTACTTCTTGCGAGGTTGATTCTGTAGAGGCGCTGTTTACGTTGGCTTGCCCGACGTGAGTGACCCCGCTGGCCGAGTGCTACGTAGGACTCTGTACCTCAATAAGAATTGAAAGAGTTAATAATCAGTCCATTATTTTTAACTGTAATTAACAGACGTCTTTCTTGTCTTTAATATTCGAATATTACCGAAGGAAAATCGTTATCGCGCCAAAAAACAGCAACAAAAAGAATCCAATCACTTGCCATATACATGACATCGTGCTTGAAACAAGAACAAGAAATTTAGGGGAATGTAGTATTATAGCCTGAGTTGATAACGTAAATTGGCCACCGTAAAGAGTCTAAAAGCTGACGTTTCGAACGTTAGCCCTCGCTAGAGCGATTGAAGGAATTGTGGGTTTTGTGTGGGTTTATATACAGAAAATGGAGCTACGCTATTGGTGGGAATATGGTGTCGAGTGAACAAGAATAAATTAGTTAAATAAAAAGCGCTCGTTCATACCCTAAAGATTAAGAGTGCCGATCTAGAAGATAAATTTTTGCTCTGCAGTTTTGCTGCTTTCCAAATTACCGAGTTGTAAGGAAAGGCCGCAAACTGCCATATGCTGCTTAGAATGATTGAGGATATTAAAGTGTCTAGCGAAACAGTTAAGATGAAAATGGCCTTACGACGTAACATCTTACACCTGTCGCCGTTTCGTTCCTAAGTCAAAACAGGTGCAGCACGTAGAGAACAAAAATTCAAATACTTTTATAATTACTTGGCATCTGTATTCTACATTAATTTTGAAATTGGACTTTTTCTCCCAGTTTGCCCAAGCTGATAACAATTCAGTGGCGTCCTAAGGTCACGACCAACTGACGATCGACTTTTGATAACCTATTACTGAAGGATTATTTGAGTGAAGAAGTTTTTTTTACGTTGTATTGTGAAATTAACCTATCACAAATACAGTCTTACTTTCCCCTCAGTATTAATTCAAATTCGCGCAGAAAAACCGGCCTTTTTTCCTCTTTCGTGAGACACACCTCACAGCTTTCGGGCATTCTTCATAGTCAGACGCTACAGATTAATTTTTCTCCCTGCAATTGCTACTAAAAAAAAAAATGTTTACCTGATCTTGACTTTGAGGCTACTGTTAAGAAAAAATATTCCTCGTTGTATCTAAGGATAACCTGCAAAAGAGTGAAAACGACAACAGGATGATGGCGACAAAAAATATAACGGGAAGTGGAACACAGACGACAACATTTGAAGGATTGGAGTGCTCCCCGGTTTGGGTAGGTGAGTTAAAACAACAGTCCGTTTCATTCTCAGCAGTCAACGTTCTCCTCTCCATCACAGCAACTCTTGGGAATTCTCTAATTCTTGTTGCCCTTCACAAGGAATCTTCCCTCCATCCGCCATCCAAACTCTTGTATCGTTGTCTGGCAACAACTGATCTGTTGGTTGGACTTGCTACCCAGCCTCTTTATGCCATCTATTGGATGTCCGTGGTTCATGAACACTGGAGTCTTTGTCGATACTCTTTTGACGCAGTTGGCGCAACAGGCTATGCATTATGTTCAGTGTCATTGTGGACCCTGACGGCCATAAGCGTGGACCGACTTCTAGCCCTGTTGTTGGGACTAAGATACAAAGAGATTGTAACTTTGAGGCACACGTATATCATTTTAGCTATCATTTGGGTTGTATCTGTAGTCGCTGGTTTATTCTTTTGTCTCAGTTACCGTATAACCTCTTGGTACAGCCTTATTAGTGTATCATCTTGCCTGGCAATTTCAATCGCCTCATACACCAAGATTTTTCGCACTCTCGGTCGTCATCAGGCTCAAGTACAAGATTATGCTCAACAGCAGCCGAGCCAACCAAATGCACTGAACATGACACGATACAGAAAGGCATTGTACAGTGCACTGTGGGTGCAGTTAGCTTTAGTTGTATGTTATGTACCATATTTTACAATGGAAAGTGTGATCTCTCGTAGTCAAGAGCGATTTCCGAATTTCATCGTAATCAGGGGAATGGTAATTGTCTTGGTGCTATTTAACTCTACTTTAAGCCCGTTCCTTTACTGCTGGAAGATAAGTGAAGTGAGACGAGCAGTAAAGCAGACAATCAGACAAGCAATCTGCTATGCAGAGGGGTAGACCTATTTTAACGTTGGCATGTACTGTTTCCTCTGTAGCTTACTTGAAAAATTATAATTATTAGAAGAGAGGAGAAGATATGCCATTTCATGATAAAAAAGGGTGAGGAAAAATATGAAGAGCTACCTTTAAATAGTACATTGTATTCGAATATTAATTATCACATGAATAACTAACAGGTGAAAAATTGTAGTTCAGTAGCCATAACAAAACATCAATATGTCTCCAATTTTCGCATTTGTAATGAAGAAGTGAAGGCTATTTTTTCATTGAGTCAGAATGCGCTTAAGATTTTGCTTTGCGATCAAAACTTGATGAGATATGTCACCTTAGCTCATAGATATTGTTGAGTGATAACGAGCTTTTAACGGAGCCAGCCGCTCAATTTTGTAATCTGTTCAAATAAAGAGAAGGAAATGCCTAGAAAGAAGTTGATAATCTCTATTTCATATGGTTATCGTTTGAGACTAAACGTTTACCTGAGATCAATTTCGCAAATTATAGCAGAAGAAGATTATAATAAGAAATTATTAAAAAATAAGTCTAACATGGTGGATAAGTACCTGTTTTTCATTATTTCATCAATATCAACTAAGACTTTTTATCGAGTTGCCTCATGAGCCCACAACATTTTGACCACTGTGACGAAGAACATCGTTGTCGATAAAAACACAGACCACAATAAACCGTGGCCACGGTCGATTTGTTAAATGAAAAGTTTTCGCTAACAGCGCTGTTTATTACCAGAACCCACCTTATATATTAAACAACTGAAGAGGATTTTCAGAAAAAGAATTGTCCCCAGAGAAGGAGAATTTGTACAGTTAATGGTGTTTGAAGTAAATTGTTCACTGTTAGATCTATTTTCAAACTTTTTAGGGCATAAAGGTAGAGTTCAAGGCAGTTTTATCGGTAGCGAGGCTGTCATTATCTTAAAGTTCCTGTCAAGCGCGACACGTAGAGAACAAAGAGAACATTAATTTTACATAGTTTTATGCAATCTAGTTTTCTATTTCCCAACACCAATAACTTTTACAAAAAAACTTTTACCTCCAACTAAGATAATTCACGACGTCCTAATTTTGCATAAATTTTATCAAAAGTCGATAAACTACCTCATTAATGAAAGTCTATTTAAGTAAACAGGGTTTTTTTCTTGTCGTATTGGGAAATAGTTCTATCACAAATATATACTTGCTTGCCGGGTGTTGCTGATTTAAATTCGGGGAAGAAACCTGGCCGCTTTTTTTTCCTTTTCTTGTAACACACTAGACAGCTTGTCTGTGCATTTTGCATAGTCAAACACTACTGATGAAGTCTCTATATAACTCTTATTCATGTACAAATTAAATTGAAGTTCGACTGATCTTGACTTGGAGGGTGCTGTTACGACGAAATATTCCTCATTGTTACTATAGATAATCTGCATAAGAATGGAAATAACAAGAGGTTGTTGCCTTTTGCCTTTTAGACACTGTGTGGTGTCGCTAGTTTATGCTACATTTTAGACTTTACCAATAAGATATGTGGCTCGGCCGTATAATTACAGAGCAACTGTATAACAGTAATTATAGTTATAACAACACCCGCTTTTGATTCGTTAAAAAGAACCAATTATTTTTCACCTCAGGAAAGCCTCGCAAAATGATTCATCCTTGACCATCGTCTCGCTGCTATGATACAAATTCAAACTGATTTAAATTTGTGCCAGGGCTTTTTTTCTAGGAAAAATTCTGTCGCTGGAAAAAGGACGAACATATGCACGAAAATTCTCGATATCACGTGAAGTGAACTGTTGACCCAATCGTGTCGTCGGGACCTATCGTCAGGTTCCCCCCACCCTAAATTAAGTGATTACACAGTCTTTAAGTCACATTGTTCTTCTTCGCCGTTATCACACCTAACTGAACGATCCTAGGGTTCCTGAACAAGTAGAAGTATTTTTTTTTATTTATTATTTTAATTTTTTTTTCCTAGATTCAAAGACGCTTCCTGAAGTATGGAAACTTTTATAGTTTGAAAGAATATACATAGGTTCTTTCTCTTTGTCAGAGAATGAGACTCTCCACATTTTTCAAATGTTACCGCATCCGATTTTTGTATCTTTATCTTGACTATATCAACAATTTACAGTGTTTGATGTAAGTTTTTGGATGTGTTAGGTTTTATCTTGCCACATTAAAGAGCCTGTTTGGAGACTAAGGTAGAGTCATTTTATTTAGTTGTCCAGTGGGCCGCACAGTCCCACGTGATCGCAGAAGCACCTGTCTGTTTGTTTGTTTGTCTTTCGGCTGTTATCGTTGAGAACTCGAAATCCCCAGTGAATTTATACGTTGTTTTTTTCTGTTCAGGAAGCCTCACAGAACTCGTATTTACTTAGACAAACTCTGAATTTGATATTTTTAGGAAATACTGCGGTTTCTTTTTTTGTGCGAATGTGTTTGTCTTAGTTTTACCGTAGGTCTGCCAGCCTACACTTAAAATACTCTGAGAGCCTAAACAAGGTTTACAATAAACGTATTTGAGAATTAATTCGTGGGGCTGTCTGTACATTTCCCAAATGACTGATTTCACCATCTCTAGCCGATGTGGAATGAAAGCAATCTTCGCAGTAATGATCACTACTTGAGCAGTAGTAAAAATGAGGCCTTAAAAAAACAAGAAAAAAAAATCAGACTTGACCCAACGCTCCATCAACTGAGCAACCAAGCTAACTGATAAATGGTCATTATGTTTGTTCCAAATAAACCCGTGAAGTGATCAATAAATAACTGTGAATATATGAAAATCATACATGCGAACTGCGGATGAAGTCGTGAATGAAAGCGATCATCGTGAATGAAAACGATCTTCGCAGTAATGTACCGGCGATCGCCGATCTCTAGAAAACAACATACCCAACAAATCACACTCAGCACTCAGCATCAAAAGGTGAAACGAGAAACACAAATAAGATATCTAAACCTCCCAAGACAGAAATATTAAAAGGGCCCTAAAAACCCAAACAGAAAAACGATCAGTAAAAAAACAAAGAAAAATCCAGAAAAGAAAAACAAAGTTGAGAGAAAACACGACAACAACAGGGAAAAAAAATCATGAAGAATAATGAAATAAGAAGCGCGAAGATTGACCTAAGCGCCCAACGTCAGCATTTGCGTGAAGAGTGTGGGCCGCAATTTATTTCCTCTCTATTGTGATTTCCTTGCTTGATGAAAACAGAAAGAAACTTTAGAATCCTAATTGTTCATTCTAATCTTTGGCTTATTCTGGACAGCTACGCAAACCACTGAGGCGAACTTTTCACATTGACGAGAACCTCCCATCGTAACGAAATGGAACTGAAAGTTTACAGTACGAAACGCAATTCTTCTCCACTACGTTTACGAGTTTGACGAAACGAAACGTTTAAAAAACGTTGCGCCTCGTGAATCCACATGATAGCGAATATCGTTGTCAATAAGAGTACATAACACGCTTAACCACTCTCGATTGATAATTATTTAGTCCTGATCATATTACGATAGAGATCTCAGACGTTTGGTTTACTCGGGTTTATTCCTAATTAGTTGAAAATATGGCAGCTAAAAAAATTTATTATTTGTTAATTTGTTTCGACCATTTCTTGGCCTTGATCCCTATCACCATAGTGAACCTGAATTTTCATCAAAAGGAAGTCAAATTTCATTGATATCCTTCCTCTTGAGAAAACTCAATACTTAAGTAATGTTATCTTTACTTCTAACTACGGATAATTTTCCAGGAAAACAATCAATTGGAATTCTCCAAAGTGAATCAAATTCTAACAAATTATTTCCCAACCAAATTTGAATTTCGGCACCATAATCCTTAATTGAAGCTGTAGACTGTCTTTTTGATGTAACCGGCCAAATTATGACTTTGGTGCGTGTGTAGTTAATTGTTAATTTAAAAGGAATATAACCGGTGTACAATGTTTTTGTTGAAAGAACCAGCTGCCAGCAGAGTTTTTCACTATTCAACAGAAATCATGTCACGTCCAAAGCTTTTCTCTGAATCTGAGTGACTCCACTTTACAACTAGATGTTCAAAAGTGAAAAGAGGACTGAAAACGTTTGGCATTGGATGATGTATAGCAAACAGATTCAAGCCCTTTTTCACATTCATCTATTAAGGAGTAGATGGCGAGATAAAAGTAACATCAAATTTCGTAAAGGGAAAGGAAGCGGCTTCCTACTGCTTCATATTAGTTTTCTGTTCAGTTTCGGGCTGTTTACCACTTAAAATGGAATGCGACAAAAGTATTAATAATTGAAAAAAAGCGCTAAATTGTACGCAGTTTCGGCAAATTATTGATAAAGAAAATTGTTTTAACCGACGCACTTTTGTGAATTATATGCCATGACCAAGTACGGAGCGCACAGCCTTTAGTCCGTTTTGTGATGAAAATGGGTTTCTTTTGGGGATTAGTAGCTTCCTTTTCAGCGAAACACAAAAGGTAATTTGTGGAACTGAATAGATAACAGCAGTTATTTCTCATAACAGGCCTTCCATTTTCTACGCAATAGATTGTTTTCACGGAGATCAGTCTACAAGCCTGAACGTAAAACACACGGTGATAAAACTGGAGTTTAACGAGATGAATGTAAGTAACCTTGAGGATGCATTTAATAATTCATCCAAATCAGTGCTTTTTGGCCCAAGCATACCGCAATTCAAATGGGACTTAAAGCCAACACTTTCGCTTCAGCTCACCATTGGCGCAACGGCCGTTGCTTGTCCATGGATCATCTCTCTAAACATGTTCGTGATCCTCGTAATCAAGAAGGTAAGAGAGCTACAGACAAACTCTAATATTCTCATTGCCAATTTGGCCGTGACTGATCTTTTAGTTGGCGCAGTTTCTATGCCACTTTCAATCGCTGTGGATGCGCTGATTCTTCGAGGAACTGTATCACGTAGCATTGTTTTTCTACTGAGTGAAATCGGTATCTCTGTACTGATCATTTTGTATACTATCTCCTATCACCATTTATTGCTGATAGCTTGGGAGAGGTATGTGGCGATAGTTAAATGGACAGAGTACAAAGTGTTAGTCACAAAAAGACGCTTAAAGAAGTATACTGTGATCGCTTGGATGGACAGCGTCACAAAAGTGGTCTTACATCAAGCATTAGTTTTCGCTGAAGTTCCCCATGAAGTTCTCTTTGTGTTGGATCTTGCGATTAGCTTCAGCTGGCTCACTGAAACTTTAACGTTGCTATATTTTTATCGCATGATTTATATCTTGGTACGGAGACAAAACAGATGTGAAATCAGCCAATTGAGTGCTCTAATTAAAGCAAAAATGGAAAGGAAACTTGCTTACACTGCGTTTCTGCTGTTAATGGCTGCTTTCGTCTGTAGTGTTCCGATACTAGTAGTCATGACCTCGGCATCATACTCACCGGTTTTTAGCACGTATTCAGCCTTACGATGGGTATATATTGTGGTTCAAATAAACTCTCTGGCGAATCCCGTCCTCTATTTTTATAGAAACAAACGTTACAGGAAAGCTCTGCTACAAATGATAGGATTGGAGAAGACACAGGAAATGGAGCGAATTGATCTCAAAGGGCGTTGTGCAAGGCGGAACCGTTGCTCCGTGGAACTTGGGGACACCGAAGGAGCTCTAAGCCTAAAACGATCACATTCATTTCCAGAGGAGACTCTTGGACCGAGGAACACGAGAGAGTCGAAAGTCACAAAGATAGAAAGAAGAAAATCGGCTTCATGTTTGACGATATCAGACAGCTTGCAAAGCGGAACACAACCCCTCTCGCTACACGGTATGATGCGTATAGAAAATAAACCATGATAGACCATCAGAATTTGTCCATCCTGATAACCGAGCCAAGGGCTCATATCACCACGAAAGGATGAGGTCAAAGTCATTAAATGAGATGTCGTTCGATATGAAGGCAAGTAAAGCTACTGAAAACGTCACGAAAGTTGAATGTCAAAGAGACACCTGGGTGCCGCTAGTTTAAACGTCTCCAAATGAAAGGACACAAGAAGAGGAGAGTCTCAATGGCGTGATGGCTTTTTATGGCTTACAGTTAGAATTTTGACCATTTTACGGTTGCATTTAATTCTTCTTGTCAGCACATTAAGAAATGTATGGAAAACAGGTAAAACAGGTGTAAAAGCTGAATGAGTTCTTGTCAGTACCAATATCCATCCGCAAAAATTGATTAAACATTTAGCCTGTTTTGATGGCAAAATTTGGTCACACGATTTAGATTCACTTGTTATAAAAGATACGCCATATTTGAAAAAATGTTAAGTACCGTAAGACTGGCTGTTTTTCAGAACGTTACCAACGTCAATTAAACCATTTATCTAGTTGCCTCACGAGTCCACAACATTCGGACCACTGTGATGACGAATATCGTTTTTCCCATTACCGATTAACGTTTTCGAAAAAGGCTTTTTACCTTCAACTAAGAAGATTCACGGCGTCTTTAGTTTGCGTTATATGAGAAAACAGGGTTTTTTGTTGTCTTAGTTGAATTAGTTGTATCGCATATGTAAATTTCCTCCCGCTAATTGCCGCTTCGAATTTGAAGGAAAACCCGGCCCCATTCTTCTTGTTCGTGTGATACACAAGACAGCTTGTTTGGGCATTTTGCTTGGTCAAACGCTAATGATATATTCTTCGTTTAATTATTATTCACAAAGTGAGGTTTGACTGATCTTTACATGGAGGTTCCTGTTATGACGGAATATTTATTTTTGTTGCCACGGATAATCTGCAAAAGAGTGGAAACAACAAAAGGATTTCCTATTGCTTTTTGGATACTGATGGTGTCGCAGGTTTATGCTACATTTTAGGCTATAACGATTAGATATGTGGCACGCCGTATAATTATACGGCCTCTCTATGCTACCTATCGGATATACGTGGTTCACAAACACTGGAGTCTTTGCCGATACTTATTTTACGCAACCGGCGTAACAGACCGTGTACGTGTTATGTTCAGTGTCTTTTTCGACGCTGACGGCTATGAGCGTGGACCTACTTCTTGTCATTCTGTTGGGCCTGAGATACAAAAATATTGTAACTTTGAGGCGCACGTGTAACGTTTGCGTTGTATCTCAAGTCCCTGGTTCATTCTTTCATCTCAATTGCCGTATAACCTTTTGGGAAAGCTTTAGAGGTACATCATCTTGCCTGGTAACCTGAGCCCCCTTGTTTGCAAAGATTTTCCGCGCTGTCAGTCATCATCAGGCTCAAGTACAAGATAATTTTTAACAACAAATGAACAAAACAAATGCACCAAACATGGTGCGATACAGAAACGCTGTGTACAGTGCAGTGTGGGTGCATTTAGCATTAGTTTTCTGCTATGTACCAAACTTAACAGCAGAAATTATGATATCTCTGAGTTTAAACCAATTATCGAATTTCGTCACAATCATCATTGTCGTTCGCCATAATGGCGAATGTTTCAGTTTTTTTAACTCCACTTTAAACCCGTTTCTTCACCGTTGGAAGATCAAATATACAAGAAGACTTATGTTTTTAAATACTCAAGAAAATTTTAAAAATGCTCCTTTATTTACTTTGTCTTACATGAGCTAAGCCAGGCAAGCCAAGCTGAAACTGAGATTTAAATACAATATGATGAAAAGATTTAGAATGTCCCAGGCTGTTAAGCATATCTCTATTAACAGAGCTCATAATATATTTAGTTTCGAAATGGTACACGGCACGATAGTTGTGGTGAAATAAAATAACGGGGGAGTTTGAGTCGGTTCGGGTCGGTTCGGGTCGGGTGAACACCGTTCTTTAGCCGACTCGACCCAAGCCTCACTCTTTCTTCGCTCCGCCCTGACTATCGCGCCGTTTACCGTGCACCTCAGTCATTTTACTAGCTGAACGCCTCAAACAGGCCGTGTTATCACTCGATAAGCTGTCAAAAAAAAAGCTGCGATACAGAACACAAGAGACTACTACATTTATTTCTACGAGTCAGTAGTGGAGCCACTTATTACGAAAGAGGAATCGAGAGACAAAACGAATGTAATCACCTGTCGCATACATAAAAACTTTAATTGTTACTACGGTAATTTTTTGTAATCACATAATGACTAAACACAAAAAAAAATTCAATTTATCTTACTAAATGGTTTATTAAGCAATAAATAAAAAGGTTTCTGCAGCTCTATGCTTTGCGCCTATGAAATGATTGAATATTTTTATTCGGTAGCAAACCGTATTGTAGAAGAGAAAAAAAAGCTAATACACGTATAGTTTTTCAGAAAACTTACACAAAACCTTGGCTGAAATAACATGGTAACGATGACCATAGATTTATACAGAGGAAGTCTTCCAACTACTTCCTGACCAAGTAACATCTGCGTTGCAGTCGTTTTGCTTTTCAGTTTGCCGTGCGTGTGTGATTAAAATTCTGACAAGTTCCGGTATCACAGCATTGGCATAAGAACTTCATCATCTGTCAATAGCTTTCAGCGAAGGTTTTATTTGTTTTTGTTTGTTTTTGTTTTTAACAATTGTTACAGAGAGTATAAATTTGACCCTCTCATACGATACCAGATCCAAAATGCCGTTTATCAAGTACAGGTAACTAAGACAAACAGCAATGTTGAGTAGCAAACTTTTGCCTTAAAACCAGAGATAATTTGCAAACACAATGTCTCCCGTGGGAGGAGCATTTGCATTATTTATGATCTTTTGACTAGCATTTCCATCCCTTAAAATGAGCGGCACGTAGAAACCAAAAATTTAAATATTTTTCGAATAACTTTGCATCTCTAACCAAAATTAATTTTGAAATTGGACTTTTTCTCTAAGTTTTCCTAAGCTGAAAAAAAAATTCATGTCGTCCCAGAATCACGTGAGTTAATAATTCACGTTACTATCCGGGTAAGGCAAGGAGTCCAATCCAAACAACACGTAGGCCGATGCGTTGATTTATGCGTCGGCCGACGGCAACCGGTCGACTAACTTTCGGTCGACTTTCGATATCCTATCGCTGAAGGTTTATTTGACTAAAGAAGTTTTTTATGTTTTGTTGGGAAATCAACCTATCACAAATGCAGTTTTACTTTCCCCTTATTAATAATTCAAATTCGCGCACAAAAACAGACCTTTTTTTTCTCATTCGTTTCACAAACCTCACATCTTTCGGAGATTATACATAGTCAGACGATAACTACTGTCTGTAATTGTTATTCAAAAACTAAGGTTTAACTGACCTTGACTTTGGTGCTGTTAAGACGAAATATTCCTCGTTGTAACTAAAGATAACCTGCAAGAGAGTGGAAGCGACGGCAGGATGATGGCGACAACAAATCTAACGGAAAGTAGAACGCATACGCAAACATTTGACGGATCGCTATGTTCCTCGGTTTGGGTAGGTGAGTTTAAAAAACAGTCCATATCATTCTCAGCAGTCAACATTCTCCTCTCCATCACAGCAACTCTTGGGAATTCTCTTATCCTTGTTGCCCTTCATAAGGAATCTTCCCTCCATCCGCCATCCAAACTCTTTTATCGTTGTCTGGCAACCACTGATCTGTTGGTTGGTTTTGTTACCCAGCCTATCTATGTTACCTTCTGGATGTCCGTGGTTCACGAACACTGGAGTCTTTGTCGATACGCAAGGGACGTAATCTTCCTACTAAGCTATGTATTATGTGGAGTGTCTTTGTTAACGATGACGGCCATAAGCGTGGACCGACTTCTGGCCATGTTGTTAGGACTGAGATACAAAGAGACTGTAACTTTGAGGCGCACGTATATCATTTTAGCAATCGTTTGGGTTGTATCTCTATTCGCTGGTTTATTCTGTTATCTCGATTACCGTATTGGCCTTTGGTGCAGCTTAATAATTATACCATCTTGCCTGATAAGCTCAATCGCCTCGTACACAAAGATTTTCCGCGCTCTAAGACATCATGAGGTTCAAATACAAGATCATGTTCAACAACATCCAAGCCAAACATCTGCTCTGAACATGGCGCGATACAGAAAGGCAGTATACAATGCTCTGTGGGTGCAGTTAGCTTTAGTTGTCTGTTATGTTCCACAGTTTACAGTGAGAATTGTGATTTTTCTTAGTGCAAATAGATTTTCAAATTTCTACCTTATCTACGGAATGGCAAATATCTTAGTGTTGTTTAACTCTACTATAAACCCGTTCCTTTACTGCTGGAAGATAAGTGAAGTGCGACGAGCAGTAAAGCAGACAATCAGACAAGCAATCTGTCATACATAGGGGTAGACTTATTTAAATATTGACATGTACTGTTTCTTCTATACCTTATTTGGAAATTGAGATGTCTTTTAGTTTAACTCGATTATCGATTTTTATCATAATCAGTTTTCTTTAACTCGACTTTAAACCCGTTTCTTTGCTGTTATTTTAAAAGCATTCCTATTACCAAATTCGAATATTCAAGGGGAATACGTGACTTTATCACAGGCCGTGTACACAAAGCTGGTCGTATGAGAAAACATTCTCTCATTTCATGACAATCGAGTACGAAAGCTGCTGACACGCGCTCTTACGTACCTACCAGTGCTCCTAATTAAAAAGGTTTGTATGACAGCTCACCACTTCAAGTTTTTTTTCCGCGCTTCAATTTCATCTGATTGTCTAAAAAACTATTTATGTCATTAAAATTCTGAAGAAAAGGAATAAGTAAAATGGAAGGACTAAGACTTTGGTTTAAAAATAACTACACTCTAATCTCTTTTATGTGGTTTTCCTTTAACATTTCCTTTTCATTTTCGGGAATGTTACGAATATCACGGAATGAATAAAAGGTTGTAGACAAATTTTTGATGAGTGGATAATATGAAAAAGTTGAGGTTGCCATAAATGTCATAAATGAATGTTTATTTCATAGATGAAATGAGAATGACATAAATTTGGTCAGTGATGTTTAAAAGTTCAAAATTATTTACCAGGATCAACTGATTTCCGACCGTAATTTCTAGATATGGTAGAATTATGTTCTAAAATACTCCAGAAAATTTTGAAATGCTTCTTTATTTGAGTCGTGAGCAAAGCCAGGGAAGCTAAGCTGAAACTAATCTTGAAACAGATTATGATGAAATGATGTAGAATGTCCCAGGCTGTTAAGAAGAGCTCATATTTAGTTTGCTGTTGTTATCACTAACCTTTCCTAGGCGTTCATACAGTAAAACGGAGCAAATGGTACACGGCACGATAGCAGCGGTGGAGTGAAAAACGAGGGAGAGTTGGGTCGGGTCGGGTCGGGTCGGGTCGGGTCGGGTCGTGAGAACACCGTTTTTACTTGATCCAAGCTACTTGCTACTTGCTACTTGAACGCCTCGGACAGGCTATGTTATCAATCAATAAGCTGTCGCAAAGAAAAAGAAAAAGGCTGTGATGCAGAATACAAGTCACTACTACAAGTATTATCTACGAGTCAGTGGTGGAGCCACCTATTACGAAAGAGGAATCGAGAGTTATACAAAATGAAAGCAATTACGTGTCGTATACATAACAACTTTAATTTCCACTGAGGTAATGTTTTGCAATCAAATGATGACTCAGCAAAAACAAATTAACTTACCTCATTTAATGGTTTATAAAGCAATGGTTACAGGGAGCAAAAATCTGTCCTTGTTGTACGATGTCATATTTTATCAGTAGAAGCTGTCAGATCTAGATCTATTGTCGTTTTCTAATGATCAAAGGTAGAATAAAGAATCGAAAAACTAACCATGCCCCACCAGTAATGTGTTTTGAAAAGCTGGAGGTTTTTGTCAAACATTACATAAATGAACGTCTACAGAAATTTAATTAAAGTAGATGGCTTTTACATCCCCTGACGGTTGGATTGGGAATGTTCTTGGGGACTTCTGGTTTCTCTAAATAAATGTTTACCACTGATTTTGCTCTCCATATTTGAAGCTGCCTTTTTCTCAAAAGTCTTCAGATGTCCCATACATGTCCCCTAAGACATTTTGTTTTGGTTATATCTGTTATCTACCAAATTTGGTTTATGTAATATTTCTAGCTCTCTTTTCCTTTTTTCGGGTATAATTACACTTAGAGATGACCCGTTTGAAAAGCTGGAAGTTTTAAACAAACATTATATAAATTAACGTTTACAGACATTTAAAGTAAATGGTTTTTTCTTGGTTATATCCTATGACGGTTGGATTGAGAATGTTCTCGGGAACTTCTAGTTTCTTTGAACAAATGTTTACCACTGATTTTGCGCTCTACATCTGAAGCTGCGTTTTTCTCAAAAAGGCATCAGATGTCCCGTAGATACCCCTAAAGATATTTTCCTTTGGTTTCGACCGTTTTCTAGCAAACTTAGCCCCGTTATTTATGAAAAGGTGCTCTACAAACCTGTCAAGACTCTAATCTTTTGATGAACTTATTCCAAGCTTAACTTTATACAGCTTTAGGGCATTTTTCACAGTCAGACGCTACAGATGAATTTTTACTCTCGTAATTGCTATTCAAAAATGAAGGTTTAACTGATCTTGACTTGGAGGGTGCTGATAAAACGAAATATTCCTCGTTGTAACTAACGATAAATAACAAAGAGTAGAAATAGATGATGGCGACAACAAATATAATGACAGGTGGAACACATACGCAAAACATGAAAGATTGCCATGCTCCTCGGTTTGGGTAAGTGAGTTTAAACAACAGCCCATTTCATTCTCTGCAGTCAACATTCTCCCGTCCATCACAGCAACTCTTGGGAATTCTCTTATCCTTGTTGCCCTTCATAAGGAATCTCCCTCCATCCGCCATCCTAACTCTTGTATCATTGTCTGGAAACCACTGATCTGTTGGTTGGTCTTGTTACCCAGCCTATCTATGTTACCTACTGGATGTCCGTGGTTCACGAGCACTGGAGTCCTGTCGATACGCAAGGGACGAAACTGTCATACCAATTTATGTATTATGTGCGGTGTCCTTGTTGACGATGACGGCCATAAGAATGGACCGACATCTCGCCATGTTGTTGGAACTGAGATGCAAAGAGATTGTAACATTAAGACGCACGTATCTCATTTTAGCTATTGTTTGGATTGTATGTCTACTCGCTAGACTGCGCTCTCAATCATCATCATGCTCAAATATAAGATTATGCACAACCAGGTGCACTTAAAGTAACACGATATTGTGATTTTTCTTTGCATAAAGCGATTTTCGAATTTCATCAAAATCCTGGGAATGGCAAATGTCTTAGTGTTCTTTAACACTACTTAAAACCCGTTCCTAGACTGGCTGAAGATAAGTAGAGACAAGCAGTAAAGCAGACAATCAGACGTGCAATCTACTATGCATTGGGGTAGACCTGTTTTAATGTTTACATTTACTGTTTCTTCTGTAGCTTATTTGAAAAACTTATAGTTGTCTTGAGAGAGGGTAAGATGTGCCATTTCATGATGAAAAGAGTAAGGAAATTTATTTTTTTTGAGAGGGCACGGTAACGAATCTTTCAATCTGATTGGTTCCTTGCCCGGTCAGCATTTTCCAATCTCTGCCCATGGGCCACGGTAACGCTTTCGTGAGTCGCCAAGTACATCACAACTTTCGTTGCCATTTTTCATAAATATATCTCGCTTTTCCGGCTGGGCAGTATTTTTAAGCAAACACGTCGGTCACTAACTCAAGCCGATGAATAACTTATGAATCCTCTCTTTTTTCTCACTCAAATCACTTTGGTTGACAGAAAAATATTGGTTTCAGAATGAATTTGTATAAACAATAGTGTCATTACGTTGGTTGATAAGCGGCCTTAAACCCGTGTGCAATCAATTTTAATCGTTCACAAAAAGTACCTAGAAAGTTAAAATGTGAGGTATTTGGTTACAGTTAAACTGAATGATGGAACTTTTATTCATTTAATACCTGAATTTTCTCAAGCAGTTTGTTCGCAGTGAAAGAGCGAGCGAAGTTTTAATTTAAGTTCTATCACAAATATACGCTCTCGGTGAGTCTTTCCAAGTCCGTTCAATTGGAACATTTGTGCAACAGAAACTGAAGGAATTTTTTGAGAAAAGGCCGCATTAAATCCCCTTGTGTCTCGTTGGAGAGTGCCATTCGAATTTGGTTTTTGTGAAGGAAAGACCAGATTTACACACGCCATTGCAGCAAACAAACGAGCAAACTCTCACAACTTCAAAATAAAAAAATTGAATTACTCACAATTACTTTCCTCGCCGTTTACTTAATGAACAGAGGTAAATCTTCGTACATGTATGAATCGTCGATGAGAGTGAATAATACTTTCCGTTAGATCATTGACTGTTTTTGAAGAAAACATTGTCGTGACAGTCCTTGCCAAACTGGTTCCGTTGTTTTTCAAATGTTCTTACACTTTTTTTTGCTTACGCGCTGTCTAATTGACAGGTGTCAGATTGTGACAGATACTTGTAAAAATAATGTTTCAAAGTTTGTTTGGAAGCCTTTTAAATTGTCGTTGCGGAAATGAAAATGTTTTGCTGAGGCATCTCTCTTGAGTTTGCAGCGCCTCTATTTTACCTACCATTTACTCACTCAAAAACTGTTCAGTTTATGGAAGATCTTGCCATATTTACAGCCCTAAATCATTCGGGTTCTTTCGGAAAGAATTTCGTCAAGTTTCAAAAAAATAAATATGTTATTTACCGGCTAAGGGTCGGTCCGTACGGTGAAAAACTGTGACCTCGGTCTTGAAAATGTTGCCCTCGGCCTCGGGCAGTATTTTCAAGACCTCGGCCACAGTTTTTCACAATACGGACCTCCCAGCCGGCAAATAACACACACACATACACATATATATATATAACTGATTATGAGAGGGAAAAAGGGACGCAACTACATTTCCCGACAAGCCTGTTTCGTAAATCGCTTCACTCTTCAGGGGTTTAAACCCCTGAAGAGTGAAGGAAATGTAGTTGCGTCCCTTTGTCCCTCTCATAATAATTATTCTGCTCTGCTTCAACGTATTGAGCACTGTTCCACGCGAAAATCGACTTGCAGATTTCCTATATATAAATATATATATATATATATATATATATATGAAGAGCTACTTCGAAATAGTGAGATATATTCGAATTATCTAGCGAACAACTACAGGTGAAAAATTGTAACAAAACAGTACTTTATTATAAATTTCCGCATTTGTAATAAAGTACTGCATGCTATTAGTTATTTTGGAATCAGAATGTCCTCAGGATTTTGCTTTGCAATCAAAACTTGATGCGATATGTCACCTGAGCTCAGAGATG